GGGCACAGCTAGAGTGAAACTGGGTGTGTGTTGGGTAGTGTAGGATGTGTATAAAGGAAGGGGGTTTGGGGGTTAGGGGGGTTTCCTGAAGGGGTGAAAGTTGGGGTGAAAAAAAGCCAGCATGGTGGCTTCGCCCAGGGCAGATGCTGAATGGGCCTAAGGTATGCTTTGTAACGAGCGAGCTCGACCTTACCGCTTGGTCCGGCACTGGAGCGCTGCTATGTATGTAGATAAAGAAATTCAGGGTTGATACATATCAGACGAGAAAGTACCGGAAGTTCTATCCGCCTCATAAGAAATCGCTCCCCTTGAAATCCTCGTTTATCATGTATCATGATGAGGGATGAGTGTCATGGATTGGAACCCCTCTTGTTCAAGCACCAAAAGTCTGGCTAATCCGAAATAGTCCCTCATTGGCTCCGTGGCCCACGAAAAGGAGGTTTGCCATTGGAGAAGCTTGGAGCTTGTCTGGTATTGAGAAACCCCGGCCAGTGGAAACTTACTACATGCAGGGTCTTGCCGGGTTTCTCTGGCTGGTGTTCACCACTACTTTCACTTTCCGAGTGCTTGCCTCGCCCATGTCCACGGTATGGATGGTGGCATGCACAGTCCTTTCTTTTCCGTCCGTTAGTGCAGAAGTGGTCGCAAACAGAGCCCAGTTCTGGAGAGATCCTTGTTACACGCCGATCGGGCCGACGGCCGTCCTCTCGGGAGATAAAAGTCGGTGAAATGGAGGTCTTTTTCTAGTGGTTTTTATGCTCCTTGGGTTTGCCATGACTTTGTATAGCTGATATCTTAGTAGCAAGCGTTGGGGCGAGACTGGATATTTGATAGTGAGATTCTACGGGTAGGAGACATCGTGATATAAGAAAGTGTTTCCTATCCAGAATCCTGTAACTCTTGTGATTCAGTTCTTGTCGTGTGAAACTGTAAACTGCGAATTTTTATGTCATGTCAAGTTCATATCTGAGTGCTTGTCGCTGATTGATCTCCTCTGATCATCGGGTAACTCATTGTCGCTTGCGTGAACCCAAGGAAGAAATCGTCACTTCCAGGCTCCAGTGAACGCTCAGGTGCCTTTGTCTATCGCTTGCTATTCCATACAACGGAGAAAGCATCCCCGAAGAAACAAATGAACGAAAAGATCCCCCACAGGTTGAAAGGCCGTCATGTGTGCCAGATTCCACAGATGAAACCCACGCGTTGAGGAGGTGGCAGAATACCGAAAGCTCCAAGGTCTACCACTTGATGACCTTCTTCGGGAAGAATTCGTCAATCAGCTCGAGGTAGTAAGGCTGCAAAGACACGTTAGAACACGCAGCGACAGAAAACAGGGGTGACATTACCTTGAGCTTCTCCACGCTGGGTCTCTCGTCGCTCTTGCTGTACAGATCGTACGGGTTGAACTTCTTAACAGCCTTGAGCATCTCGTGATCCTTCTCATTCATGAACTCTCGGTACGCGCCTTGTTGGTGCCACGGGTAGAAGCTGTGGTAGCGGATCATGGCCAATGCCTCGTCAGGAAGCGTCGATTGATCTTTGACCACATGGTAAAGGTACTCATCGTGGCCCCAGGACAGCATGATGTTGTCGAGGCCACAGCCAGGTGAGTAGATGCCCTCTTTGGTGCCGTAGATGGGGTGCTCAAAGTCGGGGTTGGCGCTGAATGACTTGTTGCCGTAGATGATGCGGTCGTCGAAAGCACAGCCCACGGGAAAAGTATCTCCAACAACGTCCCACTGACCTTGTGCATCGAAGAAGAACAAGAGTTTTCCAAGATCGTGGATCAGACCGGTGAGCTGCATCCAGCGTGGCCGCCCATCGCGACGCATGGCCTCAGCAGATTGCAGGAGATGTTCGATTTGTCCAAGCTCCGTGTCGGGATCAGACTCATCGATGAGGGTGTTGAGACGCTCCATGGCTTCCCAGATAGACATCTCGGCGCGGGTTTTGGCGTGGAAGTTGTGGCGAGCTTGGAGGTTGTATGCAACTGTCTGCTTGGTATGTTGCTCGAGGTAGAAGTTCTTGACCCGGTCACATGCAGTTTCATACTGGCGAAACTGCGTCTTGTCTTTGTCGGCGTCAAACTTGGAGCCCTCATTTTCCTCTGTTGCATGCTGCTGGTTTCGGAGAGCTTGATCCGCTGCAATGTCTGCTTGTTCAATCTCGTCGCACAGGGCTTCAAAAGCTAGGCCGTCCCGGTCGTGGTGGAAGGATGGAGGATGAGAAGCCTGGTCAAGAAGAATAGCAGGCATTTTGACGTGTACATGTAGCACAAGTCGCCGTGTATAAAAATATCGTTAGAGCTCGGTTGTTTTTGACGTTGAATTGTATATTGACAGAATGACAAGTTGCAAAGTAGAAGAAGGATGCTGGATTATATAGTCGCTGGATGCAATGTTTGGCAGCGTTTGTCGATTGTCACTTGTTTGTCACTCATTCAAACGGACGACATGAATAGAGTGAATACAGAGAAAGGTCAGCTTCCAACACAAGATCTGAGGTTAATATAGATCGCGCCATTCAATCAGAACTTGGTTTAGTGATGCATGGAGTGCATTCCGCAGGGGAATGCCGGATTCGTTGTCTAATGGTCCCGCAAATGATTCACTCATTGAGATAAAATTCGAGAGGACCCTGAATCCACACGAAGCCATGACCTTCATGCTGGTCGCGATAATCCACAGCGAGGCGACGTGGTAGCCCTGCTCAGTGCTGAAAGTTGCCAAATTTGGACGCTGGAGGCGAGGTGGCCAGACGCTGACGGGGCTTGGAGGAGACGCTAGCCTAATCATCGACAGCGGGCCGGAGCACTTGATTCCTTTGATCATGAGAGTCATGGAGATGCTTGCGCGGCGAACCTCTCGAGTGGACGATATCCTGGCAGCCTGGCCATCTGGTTGAGGCGTTACGAACAAGTGTAATCATCTTTCCGTCGTCGTGACTCGGTCTCCCCGGCACAAGAGCCTCTTTCGTGGTCGCCACCCCCCCAGTCCAGGGGGAAAGGGAGAACTTTAGTAAAGTCGGTGAGAGAAAAAGCAGGAGGTCAAGAAAAATGATATATCACAAAGTCAAAATATGTCAAGAAGCAAAGTTACACAGCATGAGAGGGAGTGCAGGTGGCCGGGGCCATCGACAACCCCGGGGATGGAGGCTTGACAGTAGTGCTCATGCTGTGTGACAGGCCATCATCCTCGAATGCATAGGCGGGAGTAGGGGTCGTTTCGAAAATACAGCTGAGCCCGATGATCACCACACCAGCCCACATGGAACCTCAGTGCAACATGCTCTTTATTTTCCTGAAACACAAAGCTCAGAATAACAGAGGACGAGGAGTAGTTAGAGAAGGAATTCTGAATGCTGAGAATCAGGCAGGTGGGTCCGGGCAGATTTTCCCTGTTGAGTTTGAGGAGGAAAGACGGCGAGGCTGAAGGATGACGATGGTGGGGAAAGGGGGAGGGGAAGAGGGTCTCCACTCGGGGCTATTGGCCAGAAGCTTGTCCCACTATCGAAGAGGATCCGTTGCTCGTTATATCAGATGCTACCTAGCATTCCCAATCAGCTGTCCGGCATTTGACTGGAATGACTCGCATGACGCTGATGGAGTTTTTCAGTGAGAATAGCAAGGAATAACACGACGTCCACTTTTACACAGAGAAGGTTCTGAATTCAAAGTCACGTGGACAAGAACAACGATATCCCACGTGCAACCGCCTTGGCAGTTCGCCTCGGTGGGACAATAGCCCGAGACTGCGGGGCATGACCTCATCCCGGTTCGGGAATATTGCGCCGGCTATATGATATTTTCCTTCGCCTAAATCCCAATACACCATATCTCAACAGCAAAGAGATGTTGTCGTCGCTTGCAACATATTCGCAAATGCACACTTCTCACAGAAAACAATAACATACATCACATCTCATTTGATACGATGGTTGACGTACCGCTCAAGCTCAACACTGGAGCCACCATTCCTGCCTTGGGTCTGGGTATGTTATGTTCCCTCTCCTTCGCTAACCAATTCCCGAAAAAGACACCAGCTAACAGGGGTGTAGGCACATGGCAGAGTCCAGAAGGCCAGGTTCGTGCGGCCGTTGCACACGCGATCAAGTCAGGTTACCGCCACATCGACTGCGCCTATGTCTACGGGAACGAAAAGGAAGTGGGCGAGGGGATCAAGGAGGGGCTCGCTGCTGCGGGCATTCCCAGGAGTGACCTGTTCATTACGACCAAACTGTGGTGCACCTATCACACGAGGGTGGAGCAGAACTTGGACATAAGCTTGAAGTTGCTGGGTCTCGACTACGTGGACCTTTATCTCATACACTGGCCCGTGGCCATGAACCCCAACGGTAATGACGAGAAATTCCCCAAACTGCCCGATGGATCCAGGGACCTGCTTCGCGACCGATCCCACGTCGACACGTACAAGGACATGGAGAAGTTGCTCAAGACGGGAAAGACTAAGGCGATTGGCGTGGCCAACTACTCAAAGCGATATCTCGAGGAGCTGCTTCCCCACGTCGAGGTGGTCCCGGCCACGAACCAAATCGAGAACCACCCACTCCTTCCCCAGCAAGAGATTGTGGACTACTGCAAAGAGAAAGGCATCCTCATCACCGCGTACAGCCCGCTGGGTAGCACGGGGAGTCCCTTGATGAAGGACCCACATGTGGTCAAGCTGGCCGAGCAGAAGGGAGTCACACCAGGCTGCATCCTCCTGAGTTACCATGTCGCCAGAGGCAGTTCTGTGCTCGCCAAGTCGGTCACACCTTCTCGCATTGACGAGAACAAGAAAATCGTCTCCCTGTCGGACGGCGACCTTGCCTCTCTGGCCGAAATCTCCAAGACCGGCGTCACCCGCTTTGTCTATCCCGCGTTCGGCGTCGACTTTGGCTTCCCGGACAAGCAATAGAGAGCTCTGTTGGCTGAGGAGGATTCTGGCGTTCAAATAGACCTCCAACACTTTCTCATCATTAGTGGCATAGCGAGTGAGAGAAGTACTGACACAGGACCAGAAAGGTTTTTGGGTGTCTAGCACTTGTACGCACTTATGGATAGATGGCCATGGCATTAGTGATTTCGCAGGGCAACAGCAACAACTCAACCCTTCCAAAATGTTGTTGTGAACCAAACTAGACATTCCTCTTTTCTCTCCCGGATTAGCATGAAGATAGTATTTCCCCCAGATTTCGCCGAGTATGTCGTTTCCCAGGATTTACAAGTCCGCCCCCAATCGCTTGCTGAATACCTCGTACGTTCTCCTTGTCCCCTTTTCAAGCTGCTAAGAAAGCCCACTTTCGCATTCTCGCCAAAATACGATGTCCACAAATGACAGAATGCACAAGACTGCATTCACCTCAAACCCAGAGAAGTTGAGCAAGCAAAACTTCAAACTCGATCGGCAGGGCGGTCTGGCCCAAGCTTGTCGGGTATGCTGAACAAAACGGAAGCCCAACCGACGCTGACGCCGACACCGACACCGACGCCGTGTTCTATTTTGCCGACCTTTTTTCTGGCTTCTTTAATTTCCTTGGGATCCCCCCGGACCCCCGGACCTTTGGGCCTCCCGTAGTCTGGACCCTGCGTCGCCCAAGCGAACTAGGAGCGGATAGACATTGCCGGCCAAGTGTCAGTGGGGGAGGGGGGTGGACACGTTATTCTTGATGTCTGGCTGGATTGCCTTCTTCCACCACTACCACCAGCAGTAGCAGTAGACCCAATCTATGCATTACACTGCACTGCACTGCACGACAATGCAGAGCAAGAGAATCCCCGTTCTGCATCGAAGCGGGTCTTGTCAATGAATGTAATTTTGAGTTGCCGGAGCGTACCACGCACGCATACGCATCGAGTGGCCTACAGGTCACAGGTTGTGGCCTGTCTTGGGTTGATGATCTGTGCTTGCTGCTAAGTACTTGTACATATATAGATACATATCTACCAGAACATATCAAAAACTGAATAAATCCCCCCAGGACGCCCGCCCCCCTCCCCCCTTCATTCAGCCTATTCACGGCGAGGATAATAAGTGATCCATCCTGCAATCCCGCCGAAAACCTTCATTACCGCACATTGCACAGTCGGTCACGCGAGCACGCGAGCACGGAAGATAGGTATCCTATAAGTTTTCCTCCATCGCGGCTTGATCTCGGGCAGCAGTTCTCGACATAGAACCCCTTCATCGAGAATACGACTTCTGTACTGTCAACAATGGGGTCGCACGCAGGAAAAAGTGGCAAGATGCTCAACATTGCAGTGGCTGGTTTGGGCCGGATGGTGAGCGGTTTTTCGGAACTTCTTCCCCTCTAAATTCAGTCATATGAGCAGCATACTCTCCACATCGATATGCTGATCGTTCTCTGCTCCAACAGGGCAAGCGCCACGTCGCAACACTCCTCAATCGTGTCGCCCGCGCCCGAGTTGTCGCGGTCTGCAGCGCAGCTCCCCATGAGACGGAATGGGCACGCGGGAATCAAGACTACATCGACTTCGACATCGAGGTGTACGACAGCTACGATGACATGTTGAACCACCAGGGTCTGCAAGCCGTCTGGATCTCGACCAGCACCGATGTTCACGCCAGCCACACGATCAAGGCTATCGAAAAGGGCTTGCACGTCCTGTGCGAGAAGCCGTTAAGCACAGATCTTGACGAAGTACGTCCCGGCTCCTCCACGGTGATCCTAATCCCTGCTCTGTGCCGTATTGACTCCCCCTTGACCCAGTACAGGTTTCGGCTGCCATCGCCGCCGCAGAATCCCGGCCCGACCTGAAAGTGATGGCAGGATTCTCGCGGCGCTTCGACGCCTCCTACCGGGACGCATACCAAAAGGTCAAATCTAACACCATCGGCGAGCCGTACCTAGTCCGCAGCAACACTTGCGACCTGCTGGACGAGACGGGGTTCTTTGTCGCCTACGCGAAGCGCAACGGTGGCATCTTCGTCGACTGCACGATCCACGACATCGATCTCGCGCTATGGTTCATGGACAGTCCTGCGCCAAAGTCCTGCTTCGCCGTGGGCACGTTGAAGCACCATCCAGAACTGGCCGAGAGCCACGATGTGGACAATGGGGTCGGTGTTGTAGAGTTTTATGGCGGAAGGATCGCGTACTTCCACGCCTCGCGCACCCAGGCTCATGGCCACGACGTCTGCACTGAAATCAGTGGCACCCAAGGTAAGGTCATGGTCAACGTCATCCCCAAAGCCAACAACGTGGTCGTCGCGGACAGGACGGGCATGCGACACGAGGTCCAGCCCGAATACTGGCAGCGCTTCGAGGACGCCTTTGCAACCGAGGCTCAGGAGTTTGTCGCCGCCGTGCTCGAGGATAAGAAGGTGCCAGTGTCTTTGGAGACCGGGTTCCTCGTCATGAAGATCGGGCGCGCGTTACAGGAGAGTCTGATGACAGGAAAAGTGATCAAGTTTGATGAACAGGGCGAGAGAATCGAGGATAGTTAGGGATCTGGAGATCATTGACGCGTGAGAGGGCGTGGAGGTGTATAGGCTTGACATACCGGCGGTCAGCCTCGAGGTAACCGCGTCTGGAGGTCCCATGTCTTCCCATGGTACATGGAAGAGCTATTGAGCGATGTAAACGAAAGAAGACGCTGTGCCGACCACCATGCCTAGATCAACACTCGCTGTGAGGTCATCACGACACAATTCTGGATGCTCAAGACGGGCCACCTACTGTGCATCGTGACTACAATTGACGATGGGCGCAGGGAGGGGAAAGTTGATGTGCATGAATCATGCTTAATGCTCATTGGCTATCTCTTTTCTCTGTGCATGACTAGTTGGCTTGGCGCCAAGCTCCTCCCTGAACTCTCTGAAAACACCACAGCAAAGGTCACTTCACCCTCATTTTTGAGGGACATTCTCGCTCACACGGCTCTCACACGCACAGATCTCTGCTGCGTTCCCATATCCACGACAGACAACCTATCTCCTGGCAGGTTTCTTGTATCCTGCCGATCGCACAGCAGGAGTTCGGACATACACCTCCTCCACGTAGTTGGGGTCGTTGCTGCGGATCCCCGCCCTCATGCGGCGACGGGCGTTGATCTGCTTGCGATCTGTTCCCTGGTATGTGGTGTCTTGCCCCTTTGCAATCCACCAAGACTCTGGATGCGGCTCGTACACATCTCTCAAGTGACGGAATTCCTCTCTGTTCATCTTGGCCCTGGAAACCCCGTGGACGTTCTCGACGTGGAGGAAATAGCCTGAGGTGTTCTGGAAGGCGTGGAAGCAGTTCAAGTTGGGGCCTGGACACATGTAAGGGTCGGTGCAGTCGAGTAGAGATGGTAGGCGGCGAGTCCACTTGGGAGCGTCAGCATCTTGGTTGCTTTGCTGCAAGGCACCTTGGTCCTGAGTACGTTGACCGCTTCTGGTGAGGAACGGGCCAGCTGCGCTGGTCGTGGCAGGCATGCTAGTGTCGACGCGTGGACCATATCCCTGGTGCTTCTTCAATTTCTTGAGTGGTGCTGGAGATTCGTTGTCGCCATTGCCAGACTCAGCATTATGGTTTTCGTCATCCAATTTGCGCTTTCTAACACGCGGTGTCTCAACATTTTCCTCGTCATCATTGGTCGGAGTATTGCGGGGACCAGCCTTGATCGCGCGGTTAACTGCCTGGATTCATCTGTTAGCAAAGGATGACAATAACATGGTGAGATGATAGTGACTGTCGCAGCAGAGAAAATGTTTTGCGGAGAAGAACTCACCGGAAGAGCAGGAGTGTCCATGGTGGTACGAACAAGACCGTCGTTTTGAGCAACACGAGTCAAAACATCCTTGTCAGATCGAACAACTGGTTTCGGCTTGAGAACCGGAAGCTTGGGTCGACCATGAAGGCCAGTGGAGAGATCAGCTGTGTCTTTGCGCATGTTTCTTACTTCTTCGGCAGCTTTCACGAAGTCGTTTACTCTGTTGATGAATCTGTATTCAGACAGTCTGGGACGAGGAGTGAAGGGTGCATGTTGTGCTGACAGAGAGTTATTTTCAACAATTTGAGGAACCGGATTAACAGCGCCAAGGACTGGAAGATCAACTGCTGCACCCATAACAAAGTCGCGGGTCAAGCTGTCGAGGTCAGGCAGTTCCCCTTCAAGCCCTTCGACCACGTACGGGTTGAAGTGAATTGTGTTTCTTGCCGACTCAAGTGGCTTTGAGGCAACATTTGACGCTGATTCAAACCCAGGTGGAAAAACAGATGGATCTGGAGCAACAAAGAGTCAGTGGCCTGTAACGCGTCAACAAGGTATGTACTTGCCGTTCTGCCAGGAGGTTGAGTTGAGCCCGTTGGCATCGTTGGCATTGTTGGCATCGCTGGCATCGTTGCGGTGCATGTTGCCGAAGTTGTCGAACTGAGTGCCAACGGCATTCAAGTCTCTGTCATCTGCAACGCCCGTACTGACGGGGCCACTGGCACCTTCCAAGTCGAAGAAGGCGTCGAAGCCAACAAATGTGGTATCAAGATTGAGGGATGGAAGGTCTGCGGTCATGTGACCTGTGGCAGCAACACTGCCAGCAAGATCATGGAAATCATTGCCAGCGAGGTCAAACCCATGGTCGATGTTGTCAGTGGCTGCAAACCCATGGAAGTCATCAGCCGTGCTCTCGAGAAACTCAGTAAAGGAGAAGTCGGGTTGAATGTTGTCATTCTAGAGACTTGTCAGCAACAGTGTCCAGGAGACTGGGGCATCTCTGCTTACGAGGTCATTTTGGAGCAACGCGGACAGATGAGCAAACTCTTCGTCGACAGCGTCACCTTGAGCGGGACCGATCACGGCTGGGGCTTGACCAGTCGCCGGCGCTGGCGCAGCGTTGCTGATGAGACGCGGGTCCAGGAACTCAATCTCATTCGCCGGTGGTGGCTGGAAATGTCTCGGCGGCGCCATATTCGGCAGGTAGGAGATTCAGCCTCGCGCGACGCAGGACAGATGCTTGACAAGTGGTGATGATTACCGTGACAAGAAGCGCGACAAAGAAAAGATGGTGTTACAAGAAAAGGTCGACACACGGAAAGGTATTGATGAAAGGTGAAGTGAGGGAGTTTGGAAGGAATTCAGTTGACGCTTTTGTTGTGCGAAAGTGTTCTGGCGCTGTGAGTGAAATATCGCGCTAGCGAGCCACACGGTGTGGTATAAAGATCCGGCGGTGCAAATGGACCATGATTACATTGCAGAGGCCGGTCTTGCGGTTGAGACTGTGTGTGCTCTCTGTGGCCGTCGAGGCAGTCTATGGCCTCGTGTCTACGTCCTGTGAGCTTGGGGACTATCCCCAATTGCACCACCCGCCCTAGTCTTGCACTACCAGTCCAGATCAACAATCCTCGTTGTCGAGAGGCTCACTTTTCTTCTGCGCTGCTCTGAGAACGCTTGTGGTCGAGGCAAGGCCGATACCGCAGGCACCTGAAGACAGGGAATGGACGAGAAGGCAAAGGGACAAAGACTCCAGCCATTCATTCACTACTTATGGCATTGAACACACAGGCATCACCCCGGACAACAGGCTCGCTACACTGCACAGGGTACTCAGCACTGACATCACTTCACAGCCTTGCACGTTACTTGCAGCGGACATAAACAACACAATCCTGCGCCACGGTCACAGTCACCAGAAGAAGTCCACTTCACTACTACACAGCAGTTTAATCTCAAGCATAAAAGGGGGAATAGCGAGCAAGTGGGCTCTGAATTTCGTGCTTTCAGCCACTACTGGTCCAATAGCAAGAGGGGGATTTTATGCTCCAATTTACATACATGGTATTTGGGTCTTTTCGGGCGAGAGAAATTTGGCGCCACTCAGTGGCATACGATGTTTGGGCAAACACCAGTTGAGAGACCGCATGGGTATTTGAGCAAGAGAGGGATGTCCAGGAAGAAAGAAAAAAGAAAAAGAAGAAAAAAAAGGAAACACGAAAGGAGTTTGGTGTGTCAACATGACTTTGTCTAGGAAGCCCTCTCTGCAGGAGGCGCCATATCGATCGATATCCTTCCTCTATCTGATTCTTGATCTGCATTCTGTCATTCTGCAAGACTTCCACCCTCGGAGGAGCCCTGAATACTTGTCGATTTGAAGGTTGAGACCAGCGTGCCAGCCCTGTCACGTGCGAAAATACCAGCCACTCCCTGCACAATTGAAAAGTTTGACACATGTCGGCCCCGTTTACTGCGTGCCTAAGCTGCCACTACCTTGCTCGTCTTTCACAGGGGGATCGTCAAGATTGGGAACCACAAGCTGGCTCAGGATAATGTCAAAGTCTGCCCCCGCCATTTCTGCCGTGTAGTCGCCGAAAATTCCGTCCAAAATCTCGTTCGATGCTAGAGTTGGTCCTTGGATGTCGCTGGAAGTTGGAATTTCGCTGACGTCGTCTCTCGTTAACACGTCGGTCATCTCAGGCACATCCTTGTACCCTTTTTGATGGGAAATCGACCCAGCAAAGCGCTTGATCTCTGCGATGGCGACAGGGTCCGGGATTGGAGATAGCGAGGCCGGGTCGAGAGTCACCAGCGAGCCGTACGAATGCGGAAGCGGTGCGTCGAGAGTGCGAGCCAGCGGTGTCAGTGTCGGTGTCAGTGTTGGTGTCGCCGTCGCCGCGCGATGGAAAAGAGTAGGGCACGATAATAACAAGTGTTGCCTGATCAAGGGCGACTGAGTCCTCAGCAAGCCCGCCTTCGGGTGGTGTAGAGGCATGGGCATGTGTATCTTCATGTTGAAAGGCGACTCATGTTCGTATTGCTGAGGTGAAGGGCTGGATTTGGTTGCAAGCACCGACCGTTTTGGATCCTCTAGATCCTCTGGAAACTCTAGATACTCCTGATGCTCTGGATACTCTGGGTATTCTGGATACTCTGGGTACTCTGGAAACTCTGCTGCAGTTGTGAAGACGAACTCCTCGACGTAATTTGAGTAGGATCGCTTTTGTCCCCGAGGAGATCGATCCATTTTCTCTCAAATACGAGATTTCGCCCCCTCCACCGAGACCACTCGGCTATCCCTTACTTTGGAATTTGGGGGCTCGCCTGGTTTGATTCGCGTTGGTTGAGTGGTGGTGGTGGAGTTGGACTCTTGTGGTTGGAGTGATCTGGTTGGTTGGGTAGTTTGGTATGCAAGGGGTTTTTGGGACCAAGTTTGACTTGATACAACGCAAGGGAGACTGGGAGGGAGAGAAAGAGAGAGGGATGAGAGAACCTCGTCTGCCTAATGTGTTCAATCTTTGAAAGGGTGACAACGAGACTCATATTTTCATCGGGCAGAGGAGAGTCAGTTACAGCAAGTGCGGTGTTTATAAGTAATGTGACATGCAAGTTCAGTTCCTCGCACCTGCGGCTGGCGGCTGGTTTCACGAACCAGCTGGCGCAAGGCAGAATCAATCACGGATATGCACATGTAAAAGCCCCTCTGAAGCTCTGCTTGAGACAAAGACAAAGACAAAGCGACAACGGACACTATGCACGATTATGGAGTGGATTTGTTTGCTAAGAGTCCAATGTTTGCACGAAGCAATCAAAGGAGAGAGTCGACATTGTCAAGCGCCTGTACTATTCTGGATCTGGTAATTCTGGGTGATGAGTGACAGTCTCAGCGTATCCCCATCGTTGTAGTGGGCGTGTATAGCACAGTGTTCCCCCAATGATGTTCATTCTGTTCGTCGTGTGCTCGTCCACCCCGTGTATTGTACTTGATACTCTTGTAACACCAGCAGCAGATGTGCCTTCAAAATGCAGCATTGGCCAGAAGCCTCAGATCACAGTTTAGCCTCGATCTCGGCCAACAACTTCTCGTACTCACTCCAATCCAACATGATGTCCTTGCACCCGGTCGCGAGCAGGTGGTTGGCCATCTCATGCTTCTGTCCTCTTGTGTGTGTAGAACCAACATATCCCAGGCATGGTATCTTCCCATTCACAGCCGCCAGCACCCCAGACTTGCTGTCCTCGGTAGTCAAGCATTCGTGTGCATTGGCTCCAAGCTGCTTGATGGCGTGGAGGTAGACGGCAGGATTTGGCTTGCTGGTTGGAGAAGGCAGCGAATCGGCAGCCGAGAAGATGTTGGCCGGGTGAAAGAACTTGTCGTGGCCGGCTTTGACAAGACACGCTTTGATGCGTCGAATGCTCGAGGAGGAAACGACGGCCAACTTGTATTTGCCCTGCGATCGGAGATTTTGGAGCATCTCAATCGACCCAGGGCACGCCGTGGCTTTCGCCTCGATATTTGCAATCACACGATCCTCTTCGAGCTTGATGTACCCTCGCAGTTCTTCGGGGTCTAGAGTGAAGCCGAGTTGTTGTTGCAGGACGGCCATGATGTTGCGAAAGTTGAGGCCGACAAACTGAGAGATCAGGTCTTCGGACGTATACCGAGTGGCAATGCCTTTCCTCTCCAGAATCTCGTTGACGATCTCACTGCAGACATCGAAAGCAATGTCCTCAGAAAGCACAAGGGTATTGTCACAGTCGAAAAGAAGGCATTTGATCTGTGAGTAGAGTGTTAGCACAGATCAGACAGCGCTCATGACAGAACCGTGACAAGGCACGACGGCTGTGAACTGACCGCCATGGCTTTCCCTTTGAAACGGTATACTTCCTGTGGACGTGTTCAGGTGTCGACTTGAGACAAATGGGAGGAATGAGTGACGGGAGAGAGCGACAGGCAGGGAATGGCCTTGCACAAGGAACGGTATGTAGAACAGAAGTCAAGAAGGCGTTTGAATAGGTAGATTGGCATTGTAAAGAGAGCCGCAGGCAGTTAATGGCAGTTCAGATGCCAAAAAGTCACGGGACCAGACCAAACGCAGTCAACCGACCTTCTCTTTGTGAAGGAAGTGGTTGAATGGAACAGGTTAGCGCGGATCGGATCATCGTATTGCCGGAGACGTTGTCGTTAGTGACTTGGGAGTACCTGCATAGCAGAAGGGAGGCCCATGATTCCAGGGGCTCGCAAGGCTGAGCAAGGCTGGGGCGTCCTGTTGAGCCAATTCGCAAGAGATGCTTGTGGCTCCTGGAGCCATCCGGCTAACTGAGAAAGGCTGGCCAGCCACGACACAGCAAAGATAGATGGATCCTGCCAACAACCCATGCATTTGTTCGATGCTCCAGCATTTCTTGCGCACCAACACGACCAAGTTTAGGTTATTTGGGTGAAGCATAGTCCTCATGGCCACTTGATGTTCGCTGAAATCAACTTGTTACATCAAGGATATGGGAGGACATCCTCCGGTCTGCCAACATCCTGAGGCAGTGGAACCATTTTGGTGAAGGGTTCCTCGGTATCGACCAGCTCCTCCATTGTCACGACCCCTATGCCATTTGGGTCGATCCTTTGTCGCTGTTGTCTCCATTCATGGTACATGTCCCACCACCATTGATGCGTGTCTCCATCTCTGCCAAGATGGCCGGCAAGACCATCCTGACTGAGCTGTCGTTCCCAAGGCTTGTCAACAATGTAATGGAGTATCACCAGCGTATCATCAGACCACATTCGAGGATGCCAATATCTCATAGTCTTGAGGGCATTGTATTTCCAGGATAGTGGATGCCACTTTCCACGAAAAAAATCGGCAAGGAAGTCCTGATCCGGGAATTGATAGTTCTTGAGCTCATCGCTGGAGTTGAAGAAACGAAGCATCCTGTCCCACAACTGTTCAGAGGGGTAGAAGAGAAACATGCCGCTGTTCAAGAGATGATATGTGGGTCGGCTTTCGAAGGTCATCGCTGGAGCTACCTCGTCGGGGAGGTTCAAGGGTGTATAGGCACAATTTCCCTTGTGCCACTCAGACGGAGCCCATGGATCGCTATCCAGGTTACACACGCAGGCGTGATTAGCTCCGATCCATTCTCGACCTGGTAAGCTGCATTCAAAGATGTCGTCGGGATTCTGGAAGATGGCCATATCGGCATCCAGAAAGACGGCCTCTGTAAAGCCTAGCTTGTAGATCTCGAAGGCTCGGAGTTTGGTAAATGTGTCTTTGAAACGTTCAGCCACACTGCCAGTGTTCTCCTGATCCTTCCTCGGCAGCAAGAGGGGAACTCGCTGCAGTTGTATTCGGCCAGAGCTCTTGGCTTCTTCTTGGAGGACGCTGAGAGCCTTATCCCCCAACGAGTCCGAGTACTGCACCAACAAAGGGTAACTGGACTTGTGCTGATCGAGAGTATGGGCCAAAACCACAACACCTGGTAGATACGATGGCTTTGTCACCAAGGTTACCCAGCACCGCTTTTCGGGAGAAACCGTCAGTATTGCCATTGTGAGAGCACTCGAATCAAACAATGCCCGGGAAACTGAATAACAATAAATCCGTACTCAGTCTCTTCAGCTTTTTGTGCGCCATCATTCTCCCTCGTTCCCACTGGCCAGTATCGCAGACCATTCCAAGTCATGTCGTCATCAGTTCTGAAGCTCCTGTCTGTCCCCTGGGAAGCCTAGCCATCAGGACTTTGGTCTCTAAGTGTGCAATGCACATTCTATACCGAGTACATGACAGGCACGCACAAGTGTCGATTCTCATGATTCGGAAAACGTCCCAAGACTGTACAAGTGCAATCTCGCCTGATAAAGGGACCAACTCCTTGAAATTGGGTAACTTGACGTCTGAGCTCGAATCAGAAGGACCCGAATCATGCAAAGGAATGTGATTGGCGGAAACATGACTCAGGCCCGGTTTCTCCGCCGACCGATTGGGCATCGTCTTTGTTGACATTTGCATCCACGAATGGGAAGGTCAGCCGAGCTCGGACCCCTCGCCTAACGCTCAGCACGGAATCGCACCCTTTCAGCTGCAATCCTCAGCTGTTACTGTGTGGATAACGATCCCTCAAGTCCATTCTCTGTGTCATGATTATATTAGGTTGACCTTTGGACTTTGGCTCCTTTACCGTTCCCTTTTGAACGACTATTTTATCGTCTCTTGGGAATATCTTGGATAACAACCCATCCTCATTCAACGCAGCCTGGTCAACAGCCGAGCCCTCGTGCCCGTTCCTTTCGGGTGAAAACCCGAAGTTATACTCGCCGATCTGAATCGACCACTGTCTGACATGCAACGATGGTATTGCTCGAGAAGCAATGGGTAAATGTGCAAGAGAAGACATTTACCAAATGGTACGCAGTGGGATCCCTCGAGTTCAGTGAACATGGATTGATTTCATTAGGTTGAATAACAAGATCGTCTCGCGCGAAGTCGCCGTCAAAAGCCTTGTGACCGACCTCTCCGACGGTATCATCCTAATCCACCTGCTCGAAGTCCTCAGTAATGAATCTCTCGGTCGATATGCTTCGAACCCGAGACTGCGGGTTCAGAGGTTCGAAAATGTCAATAAATCGCTGGAATTCATCAAGAGCCGCGGCATTCAGATGACAAACATCGGTGCTGAAGATGTGGTTGATGGTAACAGAAAAATTATACTTGGCCTGATATGGACCCTCATTCTGCGGTTTACCATTTCCGACATCAATGAAGAGGGCTTGACAGCCAAAGAAGGCCTGCTCCTCTGGTGCCAACGGAAGACAGCATGTTACGAAGGTGTTGAAGTGCGAGACTTTTCTTCTTCGTGGAATGACGGGCTCGCTTTTTGTGCCCTACTCGATATCCATCGACCCGACCTCATTGATTTCGACACGTTGGATAAGTCGGATCACAAAGGAAACATGAAACTGGCTTTTGATATTGCTTCCAAGGAGATTGGCATTCCCGATCTGCTCGATGTGGAGGACGTTGCGGATGTCCCCAAACCCGACGAGCGATCCCTCATGACATACATAGCCTACTGGTTTCATGCATTTAGTGCAATGGAGCGGGTAGAAAATGCAGGCAGGAGGGTCGAGAAGTTTGTGAGCAATATGCAGGGTGCTTGGGAGATGGAGTCGGCATATGAAAAGAGAATGCGGGCTCTCCTGCAGCAGATCCGGCACCAGCGACAGACCTGGCGTGATTCCAGGTTTGAGGGAACATACGCGGACGCTAAAGCCCAAGCCAATGAACTCGCCAGCTACAAACGAAACCAGAAACGAAGGTGGGTGGCAGAAAAGTCCGATCTGGCAGCTCTTCTGGGGAATATCAAGACGAAATTGTCCACGTATCGCCTGCGTCCATACGAGCCTCCGGCAGAGCTACGATTGGAAGTGCTTGATCATGAATGGGCGGCTTTGAGCACCGATGAGCATGCGAGAAGCAAACTGATCAACGAAACCATCCGGGACATCAAGAACGCTCTGAGACGAAGCTTCGCGGACAAGGCCAACGACTTTGCATTAACCCTGAACACACTTTCTCTAGCCATATCAGGGCTGGAGGGTGATGTCGAAGATCAACTAGATCATGCGCAGCGACTGTCAGCAAACTTGGGACCTCTCGAACAGTATCTGGAGGGAATAGCTATCCTTGACGAGAAGTGCCAGGAGGCCAATATCGATGAAAACGACTACACGACCTATACTTACGATGAGTTGCTGTACGAGCTGAGCTTGGTAAGGACGAGTGTACAGAAAAAGCTGACCTTCCTCGAAAACCAAATGGTCGCGCGCAACATGACCAATCTGACACCAATTCAGCTTGAAGAGTTTGAGTCTGTGTTTCGACATTTTGACCGAGACGGCACAAACACCTTGACAGAGTTGGAGTTTAGCGCCGCACTGGCCAGCCTTGGACTGGTGTACGATGAACAGGAGATGCACGAGAAGTTCCTAGAAGTGTGTCACACCGGCATCGACCCGACAATGTCACCCATCTCTCGACGGCAGAGGGAGTCTCGTGGAGTGGGCTTCGAGCAATTCATCCGCTTCATGGTCGCCGTAACCGAAGACCAAAACAGCGCCGAACAAGTTTTCCAATCCTTCCGTGAAGTGGCAGACGGGAAACCCTATGTCACAGAGATGGATCTCAGGCATTCGTTGATTCCAGACGACCTTATCGAAGACCTGTTACAAAGTATGCCCGAGCATACGGGCCCAGACATGGAAGCAGACCGAGACGTACCCAAGTACGATTATATTACTTTCATGCAGGGCATGATCGGGGATGGACATTACGATGCTGGGCAGAAAGATGACGGTCGAGGCAGCCAATCAAATGGTGTTACGACGCCGACCACCCCCAGGCGATAGAAATTCACTCCTTTTACTTCGCTTTCAGACATTCTGGTATCGTTCAATTCTGGGTTAGCCCATTGGTGTTGGAGGTGTTTGGATAGATATCAGCTTGAGCGATCCATGACCATTCAACTTTTATGAGCCGGAAAGGGGAGATTGCCTGGGTCCAGAGAAAAGCAGCTGGAAAGTGAAAATAGCCCTCGTCGAATAACACACATAATTTAATCACTATCCTCCCCAGATAATGAATCCAAGTGGCCGAGGCTCGGATGTTAGAAAATCCCCGCTCCGCCCCGCCTTCCGCCTCGGCAGCAACGACTTTGACTTTTGACTCCCATCCCTCCAGCCCTCCTAATGGACCGGGTGTCTGTTGTCGAGTCAGTGTTCGGGCCCCGAAAGAACTACTCACACCCTCATCCCGCCACCATGTCCGGGGTACAACAGCCCGCCGGTGTCTCGAGACGAAGCTCCAGGAGCTGTCAGATCTCTCACATGCACCCGCCTTGAAGAGTTGGATACGTTGGGACCAGCCAGTCGCTCACAATGCCGCCGCTCAAGACAACTTATTTGCCGTCGAAAGACTATGAGCTCCCCGACATCGACATTCTGACCTTGATATACGGTACGTCGTTGTTGTCTTAATTCTATGTCCTCCTTGAGCACGCGACTGATTGTATATGCTCACTAGAATCGCCCGAGGCATGGACGACCGATTCCACGATCCTCCACGCCGAAGCTGCTCTCCCCTCAAACAGCGTCACCAAGGCGCAAGCGAGAACCTACACCAAGCGCCTCACCCATGTCTTCCGGCACCAATTCGGCATTGGCGCAAGTGGCCCGGGCAAGGACGTCGTGGTATGCATCTCGTCTGGCCAAGTTCTGCTGCCGAATATCTTTTACGGAGTGATCGCCGCGGGAGGAGTGTTTAGCGCGGCAAGCTCCTCGTTCACACCCTTCGAGTTGGCACGGCAGGTCAAGCAGGGAAAGAGTAATTTGATCGTTTGCAGCTCCGACTGTGTCGAGGTTGCCGTCCGGGCGGCCAAGGAATGCAATGTACCGCTTGACCGGGTATTGGTGCTCGAGTCGATGGGTGGGAAGAGAGTACTACAGGACGTGGAGCGAAAAGGCAGGAATTTCCTCCAGGAAGGCTGGAAGAAGGAAGAGGAGCTTGACTGGGAGAGAATCACGGACAAGAAAATATTGGAGCAGCGGGTGGTCTGTTTGCTGTACAGCAGTGGGACGACAGGTGTTCCAAAGGGTAAGCTCCCCTTAACGTTTCCCTCAATTCGTTCCTTCACGAGATGCTTTTGCTGACCTCTGCTGCCTGTGTCGATCTCCAGGGGTCAATATATCGCACCTCAATCTCGTCTCTGAAGGGCTTATCCCCCAGTATATGATCCGCGAGTCCTTCATCAGGATACGCCGGCGCGATCCCTCGTTCAATCTCGAATACCGGACCTTGGCCCACCTGCCCGCGGCGCACATCGCCGGCTGCCAGGGGTACTTTGTCAACCCATCGATCGCTGGGGGACCTGTCTACTGGATGCCCAAATTCGACTTCCCCAAGTTCCTCGAATACTGCAAGAAATTCCACATCACCCAATTTTTCACCGTGCCGCCGATATATCTACTCATTGCGAAGAGCCCGCTGGTGACGGACCAGTTTGCGCACATGGTGCACGCGGTCTCGGGCGCCGCGCCCATGGGAGCAGAGCTGCAAGCCATGGCGGAGAAGAAGCTCGGCTGCCAGATCAGCCAGGTGTGGGGGCTGAGCGAGACGACGGGCGCCGTGACGGGCATGCCGTACGACCAGGACGACAAGACGGGCTCGATCAGTCCGCTTTTGCCGAATATCCGCATGAGGATCGTGGATGACGACGAAAACGATGTGGAGGAAGGATCGGAGGGGGAACTCATCGTTCAAGGCCCCATGATCACCACGGGCTATTGGGACAATGAGGCGGCGACGAGGGACAGCTTTTCGAAAGACGGGCAGTGGTTCAAGACGGGCGACATTGGCCTGTGTAGGGACGGCATGTTCTACGTGGTGGATCGGAAGAAGGTATGTTTCATCGCTTTCATTTTCCAACTCTTTCCACGCGGAGACAAAACAACTCGATTTCGTTTTTGAATTTGTTTTACTGACACCTCACCTCACCCACGACAGGAACTGATCAAATACAAGGGCCTCCAAATCGCGCCCGCCGAGCTCGAAGCCCTGCTGATCTCCCACCCGCTGATCCAAGACGCCGCGGTCATCGGCGTCCCCGAGCCCGGGGGATTCGGCAACGAAATCCCCCGCGCGTACGTGGTCGCGGACAAATCCAAGGTGTCGGAGGAGGAGATCAAGGACTTTGTCAAGCGCAACCTGGCGCTGCACAAGCAGCTCCGCGGCGGCGTGGTGTATCTCGACGCGATCCCCAAGAGCGCCAGCGGGAAGATCCTCCGGAAGGATCTGAGGGAGTTGGCCAAGAGAGAGAGGGTGGGCGAGCAGGCGAAGATTTAAGACAAGAGAGAGGGAGGGGCGCGGAAGGACGGTCAGGCGTGGAAGTGGATTGGGAAGAGATGTGAGCGGACGGGGCGGGGATAGATCAATGGTATTGGTTGATATACAGTAGATTGGGACTCCGGTCTTTCTATGACTCTGGAGAGCGGCGAACTGAGAGGGGGGAAAAGGTATGAGCCAATCTGAAGTTCGGAGAGGTGTTCACTTGAGGGTTTCCGGCAGGTCACCCCCACTTAGCTAGCATATTTGACATACAGATACACATACACGTAGAAAGTGGCCAACAATTCCGACCAAGCCGAGTGATTCTCTCGCAGGATTGCACCGCCACTGCTCTTCGGGGGCCGTGTTCTGGGGCCCCCAGGTACGCCGCTTCATATCTTCCACACCTTGACATTGTGCGGATTCTTCGAGATGGCATGCGCAACAAGCTTGCTAACAGCGCCTTGTTCCTCCTTCCCGTTTTTCCACTCCTTGGGGCCGGCGAGATAGGCGATGAAGCCGGGTGGGCCGGAGATGAGGATCTGCCTCTGTTCCGGGGAGATGCCGTATCCGGTTGAGAAGTCCTTGTCGTCGAACGTGGAGAGGGCTCGGAAGACGGCGTCCTCGTCGATCCACGTGTCCTCCGCGTTGACAAAGTACTCCACCGTGATTTGGCCGGGGTACTTTTGCTTCAAGGCCTCTAATTCTTGCACGATGACGCCCTTTTTCTCAGAAACTGGAGGTGGTGGCTTCGGTTTCGACTTGACAAAGAAGCCCGACCAGGTTGGTTTGGGGGGCAGTGGTTCCGGGGGGGGGTCGTCACTGATGCCGCCCAGGCAGTCCTCGCGCAGTCTGTTTGCCCATAAGATATGCAGCTTTCGTTGCTTGTTTGCCGCGTCGCTTTCCGCGGGCTTATTCCCTTCAAACAAGGCGTGCGCAACCTGTAAAGCGGGGGCGATACCCGTGCCACCCGCAAAGAACACCACCTGTCGCACCTCTGGACCTAGTTCATACTCCAAGTTGGGTCCGCGCATCTCGATGTCTGCGCCCAAACGCAATCTGTGAAGATAACTCGACACTTCGCCATACGGGTCCTTTCGTATCAAGAACCTGATTTCACCCTTCTCTTGCGCGGTCTTCTCGTCGATCGGCGGCAGGGGTGTGTATGCCCTGACTATCTGGAGCTGCGGCTGCTTAAACTGCACATTCCAGACACCTCTCCTCCACGCATCCTGGTAGAGCTCGTAGTTGTGGTTTTGTTGCTTGGGTACCAGGTGGAATATGCTTGCGGTCGACGAGACAGGTTCCTTCGCGACGAGCGTGTATGCGGCGAACGAGTCGCCTTTCACCGAGTACAGGTACGCCTGCCAAAGTGCGAACAGGCCAGATCCCAGCGCGGCTCCGACAGCGAGGCGGCGAAAGGTAGGCGAGTGGTTTCGGGCATCAGGAGGCTTTGGTGGATTTTCGGGGGAGGACGAAGTGTATCGCCTCGACGGGCCTGGCCTTAGTGGCCTGAAGGCTCTCTCGAAGTTTTTCGGCGCCTCTCTTGAGCATCTCGCCAGCATTGAAAATGTTGCGCTAGAGGGCACGTTCAGAGGGTGTTTTGGACAAAGACCAGAAGTGAATCAATAACTCGCTGCTTTTTCGAGTGTATTGAGATCAAGCTACAAATGGAGATATGATCATGCTGCCTTTACCCGCATTATCCCGGTACTACGACATCTCCGTCGACCACTCAGCTCAATAGTGAGGGAGGGATATGAACATCCCCCAAACCTTCAAGGGTTCTCTCACTGGTCACGCCCTTAGACTTCACTCATCTCCAGTCTCGAGACCGCCTTGAATGATCCGGACACCAGTTCTCCTAGTATTATCTTCATCACTTTGCGCCGGTCCAAACGACTTTCCACATTTCCAAGCTCAGTATTTGGACTGAGCATAATAGCGATACGTGTCGGCATTCTCTATGGCAACGTACGCACCCTGGCATCTGAGCTGCATCGCATAAAATGGTCCATATCCATCGGGTGCGTCGGGGCCCCCTGAATCGACCACATTAGCAACGTCAAGAATGATCATGTCAGTCTAGTCAAGTGCCGATCGCCTTGAGGTGTATATGGGGGTGATATTAACACGATCACTCACAGAAGTCGACTATTTGCGGGAACTCGTCGTCGTTCTCATCAATTATATCTGAAGACCCGGGAATATCTTTCAGGAGAAAAGTCCAATGCAGGGGCTCGTGCAAAAGAATGCCACGTGGAGAGGTCATTCAATCACTGTCGTGGCTACCGAGGCCGTCACAAGTGTACCCTGATCCAGGGTTCCCTTCTGAGTCTTTGACTGAACTCGACGGCCTGGCTATTTCCTCCAGTGTCAGATACTCCAAAGCTTCGTCGCACATGGACACGAGTGCAACATCACCAAGAACGCGAGGATCTATGAATGCATACGCGGCGGTGCTCCCACCCTCACCTTTGGTGACAGCCTTTCCACAGTCTTGTAGAAAAGGAGCGAGACACTTCATTATTCAATATCTCATTCTCTGGCCAAGTGCCCTTGTGAATTTTACCTTCGCAGCTGGTCCCACTTTTCCAACAATGACCCATATATTTCACTCCTGGTGGGAAAGCTGGCAACAGCGTGCTTCAAGCGGTCAAGAGGAACTTGGCCGACAATTGCAACGGTGCTCCCGTGAAGGAGGTCGCCCGCTTCTCTGCCGACGAACGTCGCTCCGACAAGCACGTTCCTCTCCGAATCCACCACCCATTGGGCCCAGCCGTCATAGTCGAATTCAGCATAGACCCAGGCACCGGGGAAATCAAACGGCACGGCAACTTCCACGGCCTTGATGCCCTTCTTCAAGGCATCCGCCAAAGTCAGACCAACCGTGGCAACGTTCGGGTCCGTGACGACGACTTGCGAAATGGCAACCTCATCTGATGTCGCGGCGAATTCGCTCCAGGCCTCGGGTTCATGGATGTCGACTCCTCCGGCTCGGGCAATAATGGTCGCCGCCGCAATCCGGCCCTGATACGTACCCATGTGTGTCAATGGAGCCCGACCGTTCGCATCTCCAATTGCAAATAACCAATTACCTTCTAGGGAAGAAACACACATGCTCTGATCAACAGCCAGGGCGCTGGTCAAGCCGATGGTTTCCAGGCCGATGTTGTCCGTGCGAGGCTTTCTGCCGGTAGCTATGAGGAGAGCAGAGCCCGTGACGACTTCTCCAGAGCCCAGCTTGACTGAAATCTTGCCGTTGCCTTCCTTCCAAGCTTCGGCCACTCTCGCCGACAAGTGAAAATCGACATTATGAGCAGTCAATGCCTCTCGAACACGCTTCCCGGCTTCCGGCTCATATCGACCCAGCACTTCAGACGTGGCACTGATCATGGTGACCTTGGCGCCGAACGTGGAAAAGGCTGTGGCCATCTCGCAGCCAACGACCCCCGAACCCACGATAATCAAATGCTCAGGCACCATATCTGCCGCGGTGGCCTCTCTTGGAGTCCAATAGTCGATTTGATCAATACCCTTGATGTCCATGGGGATGACCGGTTCCGAGCCTGTGGCGACGATGACGGCGTGGATGGCGGTCAACGTCGCTTCTTGGCCGTTGGCATGCTTCACCAGCACCTTCTTCTTTCCGACGATGAACCCTTTGCCTCGCACGACGGAACATTTCTGCTTCAACGACAGGTTCAAGATAAAGTCGTCGTCCCATTTGTTTGTGACTTTGTCCCGTCGCTCAAACACGCCTTGGACGTCGACGAGGCGATCGGCCGCAATCAGCTGCCTGGCACCGCCAATCTGGCGGGCGCCGGCGATCGCCTCGCCAGGACGCAGCATCGCCTTGGAAGGCATGCACGCCCAGTAGGGGCACTCGCCGCCCCAGAGCTCGTCCTCGATGACGACGGAGGAGAGGCCCGCCGCGGCGGTCTTGGACGCCACTTGACGGCCCACGGGACCTGAGCCGATGACGACGACATCAAACGTGGCGGATTGCAGGGAGTCAGGGAGGTGGTTGTCCGGGTGAAGGTTGACGTTGCGAGGTGCCATTGTTTGCATATTGACACAATGTGAAAAGGTATCAGGAAGCGTTTTGGAGGTCGAATCCCGCGACGAGAGTTTCTCAGAGATTTGACAGATGGGGGACCAGCAACTCCCTTTTTTTTCTTTTTGTACTGCTCTCCGTCAGCAATGCAGGATGATGGTGATGATCCCCGACAATAATTCGTAATCCATGTTGCCGTTCTGTCTGCTCTGACCCAGACCAGTCCCAGTCCAAGTGGTGTAGTGCGCCATGCAGCTCGGACGGACCGATCGTTGATCTTTGTCAAAAACAGCGTTTGATAAGTTATCCAGTGGTGCAATGCCAGTGGCAGCCAGTGCCAAACCATTCCCGACGTGGCTGGTCCGTCCGCATTTTCTGTCAGCGTGCATCGTTTGGATCGTGATCAACGCCCATGCGCGCGCGCAGTGTACATTCGCACCCCTGGGGTAGTTATCATTGGATACGCATTCCATGAAACGTAGTCACTGGGCTTTTGTGGAGGGTGTTATCTTGTTTGCCTTCCCCCCCCCCCTCCCTCCCCTCCCCTACCGGCTCTATCCGTCCTGCATCAGTCTCGAATTTGGATGCGCAACACAACATACGCCTAAGCGACGTGGGGTCAGAGAAAATCCTGGGGCAAAGTTTTTTGAGTTTTCTTATTAACTGTTTACATAAGTGTGGCACCAAAGTGACCAACCACGTGAAGAAAGTGGGCTGGGTGAGTGGCTTGGCTTTCCCTTTTGGGGTCAAATCCCCAGAATCCGCAGTTCTGAATTTCCTAAACGGGAAAACGCTCTTTGGGTGTTAATTACTTGTATATGTGTTTTTTGTTATTAAGAAGGTTTGGTGGCCGGGAAGGGGCCGTCCTCCACAAAGGCTCGCTGGAGGAGATTGGGAGGTAAGTAGGAGGGAGGTGATAGATACTGGGAAAACATGGAGGACATGGCAAGGCCGTGAGATCAGGCGGGTTACATTGCGTACAACTCTTTATCTGGATAAATTACTCCCTACAGCCATTCACTTCCACCTTGTCCTCCTCGCACCGCGCATCAACCCGACCGCAAACGCCATTGAAATCGGAATTCATAAACCCCAGCAACCCAGCACCCCGCTGTTGACACTGTCAACGTGTCGGTTGTTGCCAGACCTCTGTTTCCACCGTGATCACGTCTGCAGGCCATATCACCGACCAAGGTGTTAATTCTCCTAGCACCTCTAATCGTGCCTGCCTCTTGACGATCGGAGTCAAACCTAGACAGACATAGCCCTCGACCCTCCCACCTGCACAGGAGTGTATTTTCCTCTCCGACGAATAGGCGTCTCCAAAAGATGGGAATTGGAATTCATAGTAAGAGTTGAGACTCTTGCACTCTCCCATTCGCCAATCGAGGGCAAATTTGAAAAGTTTGGTCAGTTTTTCTCGGAGCCTACCACGCTCGACAGGCTCTTGAAAGAAATCGGATACGGTTGCCCCATCAGTGGCGGTGAGAGGGTCCGTCGGTTGACACCACCACACACCAGGAACATAGCGCGGTGGAAACGACTTCTCCGACTTGGGTAGAAGTATGTCGAGATATTGAGCCATCTGGGTAGCCATGTTTTCAGCGTTTGTTTGATTTTGGGGGAGGAATTGTGTGTCCACGTATTTCGCCCAAAACCTCTCTTTTAAATTGGCCGCCACAACTGGCGCAAGACCTGTAGAAGTCAGTGGCGCTCGAACAAAGTGTCAGGAATTCTATATACACTCACATTTTTCGTGGACTTCTTCAAACATGTACTTAAACGAGTTGGAGAAGAGATCCCACGCTGATGGTGATCTATTCAGACACCATGATGTGACTGCTGCACCGACCAGCGAACGACTAAATAAGTCCCAGTCAACCGTATTGGTCCTTCTTTGTAGTGCCTCAAAGTCGCGACGATGGCGCGTCGGGACGAGGGTCTCGATCAGCCGTTTGAGTTGCACTGGATAGATAACCGTGGGGTCCAGGAGGACCGTTTGGTCCATCATCCCCAAGCTGTGGATATACCCCCCAACAGCTACACTAGCCTTCGCAAGGATTGTGCCCATCGTGTGCTTGAATGTTGAACTGCATGTAACAATGGTATGCTCATACAGGAGCTTAGCCATCCTGGGCTGATGGTCTTCCCAGAACTCCAGTGCCTCAAGAATCTTATGACCAGGTGGATTCTGTGGCAGAGGTGAGCGATTGACTGCCGCATCTGCTGGACGCGGAGAAGTAGCGTCTTCAGTTTCCAGGTATGCTTGAGGCTCCGCAAGGGGAACGTCTCTTGCTGGCTGAATCTGTGCCTGAGACGCAGTATCATGGACGGTATTTGGTTGGACCTCAGGAGTTGGCAGAGCACTGGCATATAGCGGGATTTCAGCCTCGGGTTCATCAGCATCTTGCGTCGTGATCTGCAACAAGCTGTCACTGGAGGAAGTTGGCGTCACACTCCTAGCGGAGCTGACTGAACCCGTCGACTTTGCACGTTTCGATGGCGAGCAGTCGTTTGGGTCGCTTGAGCTCGCTGGATCCTCGGCCTTTCGCTTTTCGCCCAGGTTGATTGCCGCAGAAGGATTATTGTCCGCACTTTGAGCGAGGTCTCGTGGCTCCTCTGACGAGAAGAGGTCTGCAAACCCGGACCCAAGTTTTTCACGATCCAGAGCTGCGATACCCTCGTCGAAGAACGTGGTGGCCGCGAACGGTGTGGTCTCATACTTGGCCAATCTGTACTTGTTCCACACACGTCTCAATTTGTCGTTGATCCTGCGTTTCAAGACAACAGTGCCTAGTTGAGGGGTACTGGAGAACTGATCGTGGAGATGTGCGGCCATTTCATCCAGGGCGAGTTCGAAATTTTGTCGCAGCGTTCCATCCGGTCCTTTATTCTGCTCTATCCACTCCAGCAGGAGCTTTTCAGCTGCAGGAGTCCACTGCAGGGGACCGCTCTTCTTTGTCATGTTGGGCAGAGCGAGGATGAACTGCGGAGAGGGCCGTGCTATGTAGATTTATACGGGGAGAATGTGTGGAGGAGGTGTACGAGACGAGAGGAGATGAACGAAAGAAGCGAAGTTCGTAAGGAGAAGTCGGTCAAGGGGAGAGCTGCGGCTTGCTTTATGTGACCATGTCTCGGCGGTTACACCGAAAGGGTTTCTGCATGCGGACGTATTTTTCGATCTTGGTGGTCTGGAACTGCGGTCGACACAAAGAAAGTGGCCGTGAGGGGGGGCATGGCGTGAGTCAGGAGCGGACAGATTGCTTTGTCTGAATTGATCCACTGGCGGATTGAGCGAACTAAGTGAGTGAATGATTGCTTGAATGATTGATTAAGTGATTTGAGAGTGGCAAAGGGTCTGGTCTCAATCAAAACAGCATGTTTGCTGGCTTCACTTGAAGAGCGTGGAAGACTGCACTTGTCACTTGTCAGTGTCTCTCACTTCCCACTTCCCACCCGCCATTACTGCCTCCTTTACAAGGCACTTGACTCTTGTTCTTCTCTCTTCTTTTCAGCCAGATACTCTTCCAACCTTCTTCGGGCTTCCTCCATCTCACCAGGATCCTCACATCTCACCATTGCTTCTTCCCATCCATATTCCACATCGAATATGCAGAGCCTCATCAGCCGACGCAAACACTTTCCCCTCAACCACAATCATCAGAGCAACCTCATACAACCCGACAACTATCGCCTCAAAGTTGCCATCGATTTTGGGACCACGACTTCCTCCATTTGCTATGACAAGGTTGCCGGTGTGGAACCATTGCAATCCCGCAAAGTAGCCCGCAATGTGGTCTGCAATCCATATGAACCGGCAGGCTATAGAGGGCCGTCGACCGCTGTTGTCCATGAAGATATTGCCAGTGATGGGCGCAAGAGATTGGTGCTGAAGTTTGGGGAGAACCTCGATGCTGGCCGTCCTCATGGCGTCCTTGCTGAGATCACGTTGATGAAGATGTCGCTCCTACCTCTCTATCTTGAGAAGTCATCGGATCGGCTCACGGTGAACATACTCAATTCTCTCAAGGCCCGCCACCAAGATGCTCTACGCAAGATTCAGTTGGAGGCCGTGACCAGTGATATGTATACACAAGATCCTCTCACGGGCCACTTCAGACTCTGCGTTGTCAACTCAATGGAGGACTTGATCACCTTGTTCTTCGAGTTCCTTTGGCATCTCACTATGAGACACTGTGCCGCAGAGTATGGCATCGGAGTGGAGGACGTAACGAGTCTGTTTCACGAAAGTGTCGACGTCGCCATTTCTGTTCCATCAATTGGACCTGATGATTCTCCTATGGGGAATTACCAACAGTTGTTGAACAAGGCTGGATATCCCAAGAATACCTGCATCCTTTTCGAGGGAAAATCGGCCGGATTGTTTCATCTCGTCTCAGAACGTGAGGGCGAAAATGACAGACTGGATCGGGTGGAACGCCAACGCGCTTTCATCATTGTTGATATTGGCGGTGGAACCACTGATATCTGCTCCGTCCGCCCAAGCGACATCAACGACGAAACTGTCATGCTTGGGTCCAGCCCCGGACTTAGCGTTGTTGATGGATCGCTCAAGCTCAATGAAATGTTCAAAGAGCATTTGCGGCAGGAATTTCCAGAAGGCTTGCTCCGATATATGGCGGAATTCCCTGGACTGAGTCCGACCTGCTGGATGCCTTTGTGGCGAAGTTCGAATTCCATAAGAGAGATACCGGCACTGACATGAACGACATTGAGATTCAGCTTTATCGCGGCGCCCTCAAGCTAACGGAAGAGCTTCGTCGCGATACCTTCGAGCTCACTAGAGACGGTCTTGTTTTGCGAAATTTCATGTTGCGCAGACTGTTCGATATGTGGCTAAACAATATCTTTCACCTTGTGGACAAGGAGGTGCGGGACGCTCGGCTCTACAATTCCGGAGTGCAATCTGTCACAATTTGTCTGGCTGGTTGGGGAAGTCGCCCCCCCTACGTGCTGGAGGCCTTCGGAAACCGTTACCGCCAACAAGGAACCAAGGTGGTGATGGTTCAAGACCTTGACCAGAGTCCGGCGGTCGCCCAAGGCAATTTCCTGTCTCTTGCAAGCCAAATGATTATCCAGAAAAAGGTCGCCCGGGCGACATTTGGCACTCGTCTTCACATCTCGAGCAGCTTCCGCCACGTTGATACCCATGGTACACAGCGGGTGGTCCACCAGGGTACGGACTTGGATGACCCCCGCCAGCAATTGTCCCTGACAAGAACGGTCGTTACCGAGAACCCAGTTTTCCCGCTAACCCTAAAATTTGACATCATGTCGGACACCGAATTCCAATGGGTTGAGAACGAGGGCACGGTCCAGATTGAGTTCGAGAGTTTGCGAAACTGCGGCTTCCGCCTCGAACAACGTGACGATGGCGTAACAGTCTTGAAGGTGCAATATTCTGTCCATGTCTGTTATCGAGGGATGGTCAGCTTATTGGTCCTGACTGTGCCTCACACGGGTGATTTTGACAACACCGAAAGAAACAGAAACCTCGACATGATTGCATCCCAGCAAATCAACATTCAGAAGCATGCAGCAAGAATGGACAATATCAATGAACCTTAGCATGGCCGCGGATCTCTACTGCCAAGAAAACCAAAAGGCGTTCGTGTCAACCTTGATCGAGGAACCGGTTGAGATTTTATCTTGGGGAGAGGTTGCTTTGCTGTGTGTGGCCAGTGGGAGCCGGATGACGGGGATGCCACGATACTTTTTGCTGGTTTGATTGAAATGATCGAGCTTCAAAAGTGCTGAAGGGCTGACAACGAGCTGTTTGGAAGAAGAACAAACGGACATGGGAACAGAGTCTTGTTGTGCAGAATAGCGCTGTATGATTTGTGGTGGAGGTCGGGTCAGGACAACCGTGACGACATTGTTGTTTTGGACAAATCCCACAGATGGTCCTGTGAATGTCTTCAGCACGTGAGATATGACAGCGGGGGGGTTGGGGGATATGCCATCATCACAGGGTACGATCCATTGGAAAAAATCATGTCAGGATAGTCTGTTGCTTATTTTACATCGGGAAAAAAGGCCGGAAAAAAGGAAGAAGAAAAATTCCATGGCTGCTCGATCAATGTATTGGTATTAGCACTGGTATTGGTATTGTTATTCCCCCAAATAATTGACAAAGCGCCGTGTCCTCCCTCCGTGTGACTGTGGGTGCAGGAGAGCCCACCGTTTTCAGCGGCCAGTCCAGCTCTCCACCGGTCGTCGGGACATACAGACCTTTGCTCTTTTTTGTCCCTGTGTGTGTACGTATCGACCTACCTGCATACCAGATACTTCGTTAGTTGTACCAGCACCAGGCTATATTGCTCCGTACAGGTATGCAAGCTCTGTCAGCCCGACAGCCCAACGACCCAACTTGCCCAATGACCTTGCTGTACTCGTCCCTGTGGCTTTGCGAACCGGACAGGCAAACAGGGACATACAGAGTAACGCGGCTACAGGCCATCACTCCACTCAACTCCACTGTCCACCACGGCCTTTCTGCACGGTGGTGACTGTGGGACTGGGCGTATGATGCGGATGTTTTTGGTGTGCAAGTGCGGTATGGACTTGTCGAGACCTCGTAGCCAACACACCATCCCATCCTCTTTGTAAAAGTAAGTCCCTAGAAGACTTTGTAGCTTTGCCGGAGAGATCATGGACGGGGCGCGACGCCACAGTGGGGTTGGAGTGGATACTGACACCCAGAACCATACTCGGTGCCTACTCTGAATAATAATATTACTCCGTAGGTACGGAACGGGACTAGTTCGACGCCTACCTGGTACAAGTGTTACAAAGTAGACACCTCACGTCCTCGTACAACGCAGCGGCAAGTTGGCAGTGGTAAGGCGCGAGGTATGCTATGCTATGGGTATGTACCTCGTACTTGCACACATTCGGTGCACAGGGGATCCACAAACAAAGGGGCCGAAAGAAGAGCACAGGCTAAAAGGGGAAAGACCCCTTCCCGATGCGGAAAGTCTGCCATTCCCGAAACCAGAAAGCGCTCCGAGCGAACCAAAAACAAAACAAAAACAAAAAGACCCTCCTTGTATTTTGGACTAGAAACTCGCGAAGAATGCATGGTGGCATGGTAACGGGTCTTTTATTGTTCTTTTGCACCAGGGATCGTGATCGTATGTACTTGTGCTCGGTACTTTGGATACTTGGTAAAATCACTCCCTGGGGTGCCAACATGATTAAATTCGTACTCGTCGATCAAAAACAAACTCCAAAATACTACAAAGTGCGTATCTAGGTATATCTAGGTGGCCAAATAACCCATAACCCCCGATAAATAAATGATCAGTGATAAAGGACGAGTTGGACGCTTCTCTGGGAATACAGTCCTTCATGATACCCGAACCAACACAAAACATAGAACAGGAGAGACGAGAAAAAGTGTATATTCGGTACGGGGTACGGGGTAGGGTATCAACACTACCTAGGGACCAGTGCACGGGTCTTTTTGATCTCTCTCAATGCAATCAGCCAAGTAGTAGACCACGAGGCTGATAAGGATAAGGATAAGGACCCGGCACAAAGACCACAAAGAAACCGTGCCCTGTCCGCCCCGTCTCCAGCATCGAAGGGGTCAGTCGCTTACGTGGGCGGGATCGGGCCGGCATAAAGCTCTGTCTGCGCCGTCCCGTGTCTTGCTGCTGTTTGCAGACCGGCGATTTGAAAACCCGCATGCAAAACAAAGATGATTCTTCAGGTATTGTTAGAGTAAAGAGCCCGCGTCAAAGGGGCTAGCAAAAGCATAATGCGAATACTTGTACGAGGTGGTTGCGCGGGTCTCCACATTCTTTGGTACGTGGCTTTGTGTCTCTCAACACGAGTCGTACTGCTGAGAGTGTCACGGTGCGGGACCAAGTACTTGGACATAATGACAGAGATCGTCTACTGCTCGGGGGAAGAAGCAAAATCCAATGTCAATCTCGAGAGTGTCAACATCGGATAGAGACACACCCGAATAGTTGTAGCAGGAAAAATAAGGTGCCTTCACTCGCAGATTCGGCCCTTTACCCACGCTACCATGGAACTCGATCGCCTTGCGGCAGTAGTAATCTTTGACTGCCCTCAACTATACAGCTTGTGGTACGATTTCATGATACCAAACCGCCTCTTTCCCCGACACCTACCGCTGAATCGTGAATAACGCCGATCGACAACTCCCAAAAACTCGTGATAGCTGGGAACCTGGATAGTTCCGTCGCTTTGTAGGAGCCTCGTGGAAGAGTTTGAAGTGTAGACGTCGGATTGGCCGGGAAGAACAACCTCGAAGATGGACGCTAGAACAAACAGAGCTCAATATGCCTAGTAAGCAAGTTCAGTACTAGCAACCTGAGTCAGGCTACCAGTCACGGAGTCGTCCGCCATTCTCCAGAATTCCAGGTCACCTGAATAGTATGTGCCTGCTGATAAAGTGATGAGCCAAGCTGATAGCCGAGAAAAACGGACCGTTGGTAGCCGTTGCGAGCTGAGACGAACGAGAAAGGGGTCTGATTTGAAAGCTGGACTGACGCGTGCTGCATAACGCGCAAATGTAGCTTCGTCATCCGAGCGCATGAGCAAAGCACTTGTAGGTGACAACCCACGCCGCATGATCAACTGCGCGCACCATTTCCAAAGAGTAGGCGCGGGAGGAAACCATTGGTAGGTCGACTTGCGCAGGTGACGAACCCCAACGACGACAATCTCGACTGGTTTGCTCGGCAAGGCTGAATATTGGCCATGCAAGGTTTGTCATCCCGTACCCAGGCTCACTCAAAAAGGTTAGTATCCGGCACCAGCTCTTGTAGAAGAGCATTGGTCTCTTCGTTTCCCATCTCAATGTCAACATCATCCGAACCACACAGAAACACACTCATCTCCAGATCCGTCCAACGGGGGAGCAGATGTCTTTTGGCAACCCAGTCTTGAGCGTAGATGAACCGCTTCACCACGTTGTTGAGGGCCTTGGCTCCATCCCGCAGTTCGTCCCACTTTTGCACGTCCTCAATTACTTTGTCGGTGAAATCTTGGTACCGAGAGGCAAGCTCCACGGCGAAACAGTTCCGACCATTGCCCACCGACATGCCGACGAGCAGCAACCACAGAAACAGGTCGCGTCGATAGCGCCACAGATCTGTGCCCAAGCTCTTGTCGAGGTGTGCTAGGAGCTTCTCTGCCAGCCTGAGCGGCACAAAGGCGCTCGTCCATGTTGGCGTGCTTGTCATGTAACAAACAATATATACGGCCCACCGGCAGCATTCTGCTATCTGGCCCATTTTCTTACAACTGTCCTCGTGGAAGACAAGTCGAGACTGGATAGATGCTTGTAGGTCTTCAATCGTCTCCCGGTTGGTAGTACCTATCCCGACGAGCTCTTGGAGGTAAAGGACGTAGCGAATACATAGTAAGACGTCGCTGCTGATGACATCTTCGTGTAGAACAAATCCAAGTGGTAGGGTAGGCAGTGAAGCAGTAGGAAATTCTTCGCTTTGGCCGAGAAGAAGGCCTCGGAAATCTGGTTGCTGGAATTGATGTTGAGTGCACACGAGCGCGGTACCTAGAAGGTGTTGCCTGCAACGAAGGGTCAATAAGCCCACTCCGATCTGCGTCTTTGGGCTTGACGAACCAGAAAACTGCGTGCAGTACATCAGACCGTAGCTGCGTGCCATCTGCATGGCAATGTTCGAGAAGCTTATAAAGACCCTCTGAATGTGCTGATGATTCAGCGAGGTCACCGCAATGATGCTATTGTCCGATTAGCCTCCACTGCGCAGACGTAAAGTCTTCGACATACCGCAACACAGGAAAGAAGTAGTATTGTTCCAATTGACAGTGCTCGAATATTGGGATCGTCCTTCTGCAAGTCTTCTCTCAGGCATTCGATGGCTTTCGTCTTGAGTAGAAGCGACTCGTTTGTTGTGTTACAGGAGTTATGGATGTGAAGAATAGAATAGAGAAGGGCGTAAAGAAATGCCGAGTTAGTCAAGCACTCTGGAAATAGGGAAAGCGCCGTCAAGTCCCCCTCGACGGGCCCTGAGACAAGTAGTGGTTCGGCCGCCACTTGAAAGGCACCTAGATCGGATCAACATCAGGTTTTCACGGTGCGGGATAGGACACGTACAACTCCTGAGAAGGTAGTCAATCCGTGTTGGATCGAGATCAATAGCTTTTGAAATATGCGCCGCGTATGGATGGCATTCGTCGGTGGAGGCCGAAGCACCAACAACTGGGAGCTGACCCGAGCTCGGCAATTTGGGATTGCTTGGCTTCGAGCCAGTCTTCGCACAAGTGCATCGTCTCGGAGGACCATCGCCTGCCGATGACGACAGGAATTGAAAGGCGGTTGAGGGAGTATCAGCACCGCCGGGATTCAGGGGGCACTGTTGCGAGCCACCTTCTCGTGATGGAAGGTTTTCAATTTCCGGTTCAAGACTGTTACAGGCATCCGCGCTCGGGGGTTGTTTTCGCTTGCCGCTTTTCACTTTGCCTCCCTCTGAGAAATCTGTAATGGTCAAGGAGCGAAAATTCTCTAGCCGCCGAGTGCTTTTCTGGTTTGATCTCTCCAGATTGACTTTCCGGACGTGTGATCGGAGAGCACGTACTTGGCTCGAATCCAATGAGGACCCTGGCTTCGTCTCATGCACAAAATGAATTGGTTGCGACATGGCACGGGTCTGCTGGAGCGAGAGGGCAGTCTTGGTGTGAGATTTCTTTTGCGGCAGAAATAAACGTTTAATAGTCCCCGTGAGGTAGATATAGAGGAGTAGACTCGTAGGAATGTGATAAGGGCAGTACCGAAGAGGCTTCTGATGGCCCGTTAGCAAAGTACCGTAGCGTAAAGCATCCAGGATGCCAAAAGTCCACTTTGTCGCGGCCAGTTTCCTCCAATGTGAGGAACACGAAGGGCTTGATATCCCCCATAAATATGACTAAGGGAACCTGCCTGTAGTGCAGCGTGGAACCGTCGCTTTGGTAATGTTCGATCCTCTGCAGGCGAACTCGATTATGGCATCTCGCGTGTGGCTAATGCCCCTGTAGCTTGCTCTGAGGGCCTGCAGGACTGATGTTGTACGAGCAAAGGGGGCACCGTCGTGCTTTTCCGATTGGAGAACTCTCCCAAGACTCTGCGGCGTGGGATAGCGTTAGGTGCCTGGGGAGGGTGCAGGCGGGCGGCAGACGATCAGTGGTGGCCCGGCAATTCCGTCTTATGCTTCAAATGGCCATAAGAAGTCGCGTCTCTCCACCGAGTCCACTCTGTTTTCTATTCTCTCAACTCTCATATACGTCTGCACTTCTCTGACTAGGGCCGTGTTGTAACTTTGAGGTGGCAAGAACGGCGGTGCTCGTCTTCTTAAACGGTGAGTCGGAACCCTGTGTGAGCTATTCAGGAGATGGTTGTGAACGAGCGAGAGTGGTCAGGAGGGGAGTGAAAGCACCACAACCAGACTATCTCGCTGACTCTAGCCCGCCGATGCAAGGAAACCTGTTCGCCTCCCGGCACGCCTTGGCTTGACGTCTGATACGGGACCAAAACCCAGGTCGATGCACCAATCGTGGCGTGGTGAGCCTGGCGAACACCTCGATCAAGAGCAGGGCGCAAGACGTGGAGGCTGCGAGTTTCTCCACGGGAGGCGAGTCGCGCAAGTTCATCATCGTCGATGTCTCCCGACAAGGCGGTTTGAGGACGGGGGCCGCCATCGGTAGGATATCAAGGCAAGCAATTGCAAACTTCGGCAAGGGCATTTTTCCTCGTTCTTCGCCATTCGCCATTCGATCGCATCCGCCCGAAGCTCACCGTGCCAGCGGGTCGCTGAGATAATGGAGCCCAGGATTTAGCTTTGTCCATCACGCCGCAAGCGAGTCTGATTTTTTGTCGGCTGTGCTGAATAAAAGCGGCGATACCGTCTCCGCCAATCAATCCTTGGCTCTGCATTAGCGGCTTGGCGGAGTCTAACGTCCAGCCTGGCCTTCTCCAATCCACCCCCAGACTTACTATCAGCCCCTACTAAACAATATCACTCAACCTACACCGGCAGGTTCAGTGGAAGAGGAAGTGTCCACGCGAGTTGCAATTTGGAATCATGACTCCCGGCAGCTAGTCATCCCTACCCAGACACCCTCGAGCTTGCCTCGACGCCAACCCACGCACCATGTCACCACCCTCTCCTGGCTTCTCCGAAATCCAGAAGCCACTGCGCTTCCCGAGTAGAGACTCTCTCGAACTTGCCTCCCTGGCCGACTCGGAGCACGATGAGCTACCCACGTCCGAAGAGTCCTCGCGCTCCGGCATTTCCTCCTCCCGACGACTCTCCCTCGAGAATGAGGATCCTCTGGACAGTGCGAACCCAGCATCCGCTCGTCCCAACGCTCATGGACGTTCCTACTCCGTCTCATCCGCCTTTGACTTTACACCTGCCCTGTTTCCACTTTCTTCGACTGCGGGAGGAGGATACACCGCTCTAGGAAATCCGTCAGCTGTGTCACTATCTCTAGAAAGACGAGGGGCGTTACAAAATCTAGAAAAAAACAAGACCTTGACATACCTCAACGGGCTCTCGCTGGTGGTCGGATTGATCATAGGTTCGGGAATCTTTTCTTCGCCAGCACAGGTGAATTCACACGTGGGGTCTCCGGGTGCAGCACTGCTGGTGTGGACAATTTCTGGCCTGTTGGCGTGGACGGGCGCAGCCTCGTATGCCGAGCTGGGAGGTGCGATACCCCTCAATGGAGGTGCGCAGGTCTATCTAGCCAAGATCTTTGGTGAGGTGGTGGGGTTCCTATTCACTTGGTCGGCGATTCTTGTGCTCAAACCCGGCAGTGCAGCCATCATCGCCATCATATTCGGCGAGTACGTTGTACGTGCGGCCATCGGCGCAGAGGTCGAGGACATCAATCCATGGATCAATAAAATCCCTGCCCTGGCCGCGCTGATGCTTGTCACCCTCTTCAACTGCGTCTCGACACGCTTTGCTGCCCGGCTGGGTGATTTGTTCATGTTTTTCAAATTCGTCGCACTCGTCGCGGTGACCATAATCGGCATCATCGTAGCGGCAACTGGCCTCTCCTTCAACGGGCCCGCCAACAAAGACTGGCGCGACCACAACTGGTTTGAAAACACGTCGACCGACATTTCTAGTTGGGCCGTGGCACTCTACGCTGGGCTGTGGGCCTTCGACGGATGGGACAACACGAACTACGTTACTGGCGAGTTTAAGAACCCGTCTCGCGATCTACCGAGGGTTCTTCATACGGCCATGCCTTCTGTTATTGTGTGTTATCTTCTTGCCAACGTCGCATACATCTTTGTCCTGCCTTTGGAGACTATCAACAAATCCAACACTGTTGCCGTTCAATTTGGAAGCAAAGTCTTTGGACCCATTGGGGCACTCATCCTGGCCTTGATTGTGGGTGCGTCTTGCTTTGGGGCACTGAATGCCACGACTTTCACCTCTGGACGCTTGGTCTACGTGGCTGGACGAGAGGGATACCTCCCTTCCATGTTTGGGAAGATCGGGCTGGGGACCTCCTCTGGACCGGAGACGCCGGTATCGTTGATCAACACCCGCAACAGATCATGGTTCTCGAAGAGCCTCGCCCGCCTCTTTGGGGACGAGTCCATCGGCTTGGGATATACGCCTGTCAACGCAATGTTGCTGAATATGCTCCTCTGCATGATTTACATCATCCTGGGCGAGTTTGAAACACTACTTACATTCTACGGCGTCGCCGGATACACATTCTACTTCTTGACAGTACTCGGGCTCATTGTTCTACGAATACGCGAGCCTAGACTGGAGCGACCCTATCGTACCTTTATTACCACGCCTATCATCTTCTGCTGCGTCTCTTTGTTCCTGGTCAGCCGGGCTGTGGTGGCGCAGCCTGTCCAGACGATAATTGTGATTGTATTTGTGGTCAGCGGGATACCTGTGTACTATTGGCGGGTTGCGAGGCGAGAGGAGTCAGGGAGGCCAGGTCGCCGGGGCATGGGCAAAAGGGAAGGACGTTTCTGGCGGAGATGGGGTCGGTCATGATGTTAGTTCTGGAAAACATTGGGCGACATTGTTCCCTGGTTGATGACGAGTGTTACAGCATGATTGACTGCAATGGTTCTTGTAGCGGTATAGGACTGGTGGCTCCCAAGGCTTTGGGCGTTTGCAAGTGATTGGATAGTAAGAGCAGCATTGTCTATCAGATGGAATGGGTTCTTGCACATTTCTCACACACGAAGCATTGTCTGAAGTCCCAAACGGTGCACATATTCCCATTTAGACCATAGACGGCACCACATGGCACTTGAGCCATAGTCCAGGCACGCAGGCACGGAGAGACGCCAGGGTTGCCACGATACGAGTACCTCGCGGCAACGGGGTCATGACCATGCCTATTTCAGGCATACGTACCCTTGTCGGAGGGGCTAGGAGGTGCTAACCGGTTCTGGGTGCACGTACCCTGGCAACCTGGCAATGTTCGCCGATTACCTCGTACATGTAGATGCTGCGAGCTGCGAGCTGCAAGCTGCAAGCTATGAGTGCGTCAGACGCGTCAGATGCGATATGATATGCTATGCCATGCTATGCTATGTACTAAGTAATGTCATGTTTGGGTGTGTGAATGTATGCATGTATGTATGTCCTTGGTCCTCGGTAGGTAGGTAGATACGGTAGGTCGCCTCATGAATTCTCCGAGCCGACTCTGTAGGCAGTCGAGCTAGATCCGTGGCACCATCCGATACCACGACACCAAAGGGGTTCCGAATGGGAGTGTTGGGCATCAGGACATCTCAACTCGACTCGACTCGTATTTTTCCGGCTCGGGACTTCTCCTCTACTCGTAGAGAGGGAGCGAAGGAGCGGATGAACGAAGAAGCGAGCCCACGGGGACAATCCGTCCCTTGTCCATCTGTCTGGGATTTTTTTTTGGCGCGCGAGGCTGATCCGGAATTCACGGAAATTACCGAAGACGACGGCTATGCTATCATTGAGATACTACACAGAGTACCTTGTAAGTCGGTACAGGGACTCCGAAAAGTAGTGGTGTGTACTTCTACAGAAGTATTTAGATCCAGAATATTTCTTCAACACAAAGCTAAACCGGTCGAGGAAGGCGTGCTAACTCAAACTACGATGTTTCTCTTCGCTGATAGGGGGGGATATCACCTCACTGGACATGACATGACATGGCATGATATAGTTTGCGCCGCCCGCCGCCGGTGGTGGTGGTGTTGGTAGGGTGGTAATGGAAGAACTAGTGGTAGTTAGACAGGATACCCATCAAAATACCTAGAGAGGTAGGGTAGGTAGCTAGGTACCTAGTACAATACCTCGGAGTAATAATAACAACACAAGAACGCTACGCTAACAACACCAACGCAAATAATACATATGTAAGCAGAATCCACATCCATACCTACTAAGTACCTAATAGTAGTAGTGGGCACTCACGGTACTTAAGAACTCGGTACGTACCCGTGCGCCACACCATTCCTATTTGGACCACATTGCCCTGTTCCGGACTAGTGCGTGTCAAACGGCGCTAGCTCCCCTTTCGGCCACACCTGCCCCGCTGGGCCGCTTAGTTTTGGTTCGGGGCGGCGTTTACAAGCAGCGCGAAGAAATTGGGCGGAAGAGGATTTTGGGGGGGATTACTAATGCCCGTCAGAGGGGACAATACCTCACTCCTAGCAAACTTATGACCTGTGACCTATGTACATCCCCCCACCCCTTGTACGTTCCCAAGGATGGCACGAGGGATGGACGGTAGGGACCGAGTATTTGTGTCACGGTAGTTCTTGATCGGGCCTCTCTTCCTCTTCCGGCCCCCCTTGCCCTTTCCGGCCTTGCCATCCATCCCTCGATCTACGAGTATCTACATCCTCGTATCCAGATAGAGTTCTAATCATCCCTTTTGCATTTTCCCATGCCCTCCATCCGATCAGAATATCACTCATATATTCTGCTCTCTATCTCTCTCTCCTCCCTCCACCCTCGCTCCTCATATCTCTTGGCTCGGTTCGCTTGCTCATCCATCCACCTCCGAGAAGACCATTTAACGGATCAAGCGAAATTCCCTGATTCAACCTAAAACCTCATAGGCCATTTCAAATCGCTCTCGAAGACGTTGGCCATATTCAGAAATCGCGACTAAAAGGAGAGTAGGGTAGGGTAGGGTAGGGTCAAGACGGTGATGGGGAGCCGCATGACAAGGCAAGGCGAATGCGGCTCGTATCTCTGCTATCGACTTGGGAAAAAAGGCCTCTGAAAGAGATTTCCTACCCGCTGCTTTTGGTATGTCAAACGTCTAGAACACGGCTCTGCCTTGCTGGGTCTACGGCCCTGGATCCATCGACCTTGTGCGCAAACCGGATTGGAAAACGAGACAGGCCTCGGGAGAAATCTCGCGGCGAAGAAGAGCAAAAGAGCAAACGAGAAACAGAAAGTTGCCGGGATCCAGGAGGTTTACTTGTGCCCACCGAACTACGAGCACGACTTATCGTTCCCTTCTCCACAAGCGAGCTCAAAGATGGTCGGCAAAATGTGCAACTTGGTATTTTGCTGGAATGCATCTCGATCGAAGGAGAGACGGCGCTCCCATCGTTGTTGAGCTTGAAGGCCAAGGCATGGTGGTGGGAGACAAAACATACCAGAGAGGACCGGGACTGGCACATGGCAACACCTTCGCCAGCGACCTCTTCTCCCTCTTCTCCCTCTCACCTAACCCATCTCCAGCTTTGCTCTCGTCACAACTTTGACAACTGTGGTCTCGAGTGATTCCCACCGTGAAGCCTTTGCCTCTGATGATCCCTTGGCACTTTGCCTCTCGGTGCAGCTTCGGTGGCCTTTGACACCAGGACTTGGCCTTTCTTCCTCTTTTTAGATCTGTTCCATTGCCAGCACTGGTCTGCACTCATCGGATCCACCGGTTCCACCGGTCTTTCGCCACAATGTTGAAGTAAGTAATTTGTCATTGTCTTCTCCCCCACCAACAACCTTAGATACACTGCATTTTCCAACACGTCGCCTCTGCCATGGTGCGTTCGCTTTCAAGACTAGTCATTCCTTTGCCCTGATTCTAGCTTCGTCTGCTGCTTTCTTTGCCCTCCTGTCAGACTGCTTCGCGTACCAGTTGAAATCTGGAAATCTGGGGCAGCAGATAAGTCTACACTGCGTAGACGTGGCTTTGGGGAGGGAGCACTCCGGACTGGCTTGGAGAGGAGTGGGGACGGTCCTGCCTTGGTGGTATGCGAGAGTGGCGCCTTTGACATTGTTGAAGGGTCCCGAATCTTCTTTTGTAGTGCACGAGGCGTGACATCGTGTGGCAACCTACGTAGACCCTGAGGCAAGCGCCGCAGTGACTGCTCCGCGTGAGCTGCGCCTTGATATCCAGAAGCTGGCTGTGTGCCTATTGACTTGATAGCATGGTCCTGAGGCGGGTAAACTGGGCTCAGCGTTTCCCGCCTGGATCCCCAGCTCGGCGAGTCCGAGGAAGCGGTGGCTTCATGACCATGAGCGAGATCTGCAGAAACCAGTTCGTCCTGAGAGAGATTCTCCTCGCGCTTCCACTTTCGCCAAAAGTCGAGTAATTCAATATCCCTTGAGCGCAAGGGAAGCTTTGCCTCATCAACAATGGCAAGAATCTCAGTTGCGACCAAGCGCATCCCTGTATACCGCTGAATTGTATCCAATCGCTCGTTGAATGTCGTGAACAAGCAATAGGCCGTCAGCCTCCTGATGGCTTTTTCTCTTTTGACTTTCTGCTCTCGCCTCGAAAGCTTTTTGAAGTCTTTTGTGTGTACTCTTGCCCAGAAGATTGATGTAGCCCAGTGTTCTGCAATGCTGGCAAGATGTAGCAGCCGTTGGCGAGGCAGCCATCGTTGTCTGGGCAAGCCGTCGTCGTTTACCCCTGATTGCCTGTATACCAAGACAGGGCCCAGTGAAAGACCATCAACGTTGGAGTAAACCGAAGAGCTAGATACCGGTGCCATCTCCTTGTTGTCAGTAACTCGGTACAGTTGCAGTGCAGCATAGGCGCGCGAGGCGAGATCTGGAGTGATTTGTTAGCAACGTCCCACTTTGAGGAGAATTGTGACCCACGATGAAGAAACTGGAGAGGTTCGATTGATCCGACCCTTCTAATGGCACGAAATTCTGTCCCTATAAGCAGATCTCGCAACGCCCGTGGAAGGTCGATAGCCGGCAAAGAGCAGCCAAAGACCTGGGAAGCCATTGCTGACAGAATACTCCCTGACCGGTCCTTGGACGATAACGCACTAGAAGGGGAGACATAGCTGAGACGATCACAGAGCTCGACAGCGCCGTCCAATTCAATCGACGGACCGCTCACCAACAACTGCTTCTGGTTTTCGACGTCAGCACCGACCTTCAAAATCGAAGCGTCTTGCATGATATCAACAAAGGGCTCCTTCGAGATGAGGGACAACTGGTTCATCAATGCAATATGGATAATCGCCACCTCGTGGTCACTTGCAAGAATCAGAAATTCGACCAAGCGAGTGCCCTGAGTTTTGGCGGTCTGTATCGTGTCAAAGCCCAGGACCTTGCAGCCAGTGAACCGTGGCAACACCATCCGGAGCCCCGAGTACGTAAGGACGTAGTGGATTGGGATCGCCGTACCGAGAGGATACAGTGAAGTAGTAGTCTGCCAGGGTACGCCATGCTTGACAGTAGCTCGAAGCTGTGCGGCACTATAGCGAGCGACAGACGAAGCAGTCGGGGCAGAATCACTTCTCTCTGCCAGCAAACGATGGCCTTCTTCAAGGTTCGGTTTATCCGAACACAGCTTGCGAACACCAGACCAGAGCATAACGAACTCGGTCAGGAGCAGAACGTCACGTTGAGTGTCGGAGAGATGGCCGTACGCCTCTTCCAGCTTCATCTTCAGCCGAGCTGGTGGGGAACGGGAGGGGATTTTGAGCAGGGTCAACAGGCCAGCGTAAGAGCTTTGAAGGCCCACGAAATCTCGATTGTGTGCAATCAGAGGTCGCAGTTTGGAAAACAGATCCCTCTGGAGGGCGGTGTCTGCAAGTTCTTCAAGGTTCTGTCGCACATCACGAATCGCAATCCTGCTCAGCCAGCGCAGCTTCGCGCCGTGGAAGAGAAACGGGCTTTCGTAAAACAGCTTCAACAAGCGCCGCGACGAGGGCTTGTAGAAAAGCCCCGACATGCGTCTCAGATGGAAGTAGTCCTCCATGATGCGCTCCGCATTTAGGCCTATCGTATTGACCAGTAGCTGCAGCGGGTAGGTGAGTTTGTGGTGGCTGTAAATTTCCGCCGAGCACAGTACTTGAGCCTTGAGCCTTCGTATTTGTCGGAGATCGTGCAATGTCATTGAAATCACCCAAGCCGTGTCAATCACTCGGTTGCGAAGCCACAAGATCTCGTACAATCGGAGTCTGACCCTGGTCGGCAAGGACGCCCCGGGCTTCTCATCTTTGACAATGTCTGGGTTCCGCAAGTAGGCCCAGTAGCGCTCCGAGTCATTGAGCTCTCGCAGGATCGGCGCGAGATTCTCGTCGCTGAGCGCCTCCCTCACATCGAAGTAAATCGAGTTGCCAATGTCTCTGGTTCGCTCATTGAGACCCCCTTCGCTGTACCACTCTGTAAGTTGGGACTCCAGGTGCTTTGCCCTTTCGAGCAGACGACAGCGCTTCAGGTAACGATCGATGCTGGCCTTGTCGTGTAATGGGAAATTGTTGATCTCTTCGCTGAGGTCTTGAGCTTTGCGGGATCGATGCATCCATTCCTCTCGCTTGCGCGCAATAATCTCCGTTCTTGCTCTGTGAGCTGCCTGTTTCCGTATCCGCTGTTCCTCTGCTCTGGCTTTCAGAACCTCCAGCTCTCTTCGACTCTCCTCTTCTTCCTGTCGTGCGGATTCTAGCTGTCTCGCCTCCTCCCTCCTTTGACGCTCTTTCTCCTGCTCTCGTTCTTGGACCGGGCTTTTGGGCAAAGATATCTCGGGATTGGCACCTTTGCCGGGTCGTGTTTTGTCCGCAGTGAGCGAGCCCATGCAAAGATAAGGAGGGTATTGCACGCTTGTTCGCTTCGAAAGGTTTGATTGTGGCTGGGGGACAGTACTCGGATGTGATGGTGACGGCGGCTTTCTGGGCAGAGTCGGAGTAGGTCCGCATTCTCTGGTAGAGTTCTTGAGCGACGACCCCGAACGGGTATGGAAGGTCTGAATACGGGTGTTCGGATTGCGCGAAAGATCCCGACATGAGGCATGATGTGCCTTGGCCAGACAGCGACTAGGCAGGAGGTTGCGCGAAGTATTTTTCGTGGTACTCGAGACACGTTCAAGGGTGGTGCGTGGTGATGCGGCACCAGGCGCATATTGGCCTTCGGGCTCGCAAGAGCATCTCGAGTCTGCCACTCGGTATCTCTCCAGGCGTAGGATCTGGCTGACAGAGAGCTCTTTTTGGCAACAAGTTGTGCAAAGTCTCAGGGCGGGAGACACCAGGCTGGACCCAACCGAGCCGCGAAGGAGTCGGTTGCATCCATTGGACATGGAAGACGAGGGCGCCAGAGACAACCTCGTAGAAACCAAGCACCTAGTGATGGTGTACGTCGTTCTATTACAAGGCACCTTGAAAGGATGGCGCGTAACTCCCTTGACAAAACTTCTCCATTGAGATATTCCGTGTGGGAATGAGAGTATCTGCGGGGATATGCTTCACCGTGGCGCAGCCTTGCAGCCTCACACAGCCTTACCACATACATATTAGTGAAAAAGGAGGGAATTCCCAAAAGAATCTGCATTATATTTCTCTTGTGGTCGAAGTTATCTCGTCCTTCACGAATCCTACTGAGGGCCTTGAGCCAGATAGGGCAATCCTTCACACAGTCAAAGTCCTCCCCTGCTGCGAACTCTCCCGGGCGAGTTCAACGAGCCTTATGACACCCACGGCCTGCTCAGGGGCCACGGGGATCTGAGAAACATCCCCATCGAGCGCGGCAGCGAGACGTCGGTAGTACTCGGTGTAGGTCGCAGGCTCCACGGTCGGAGCAACTTCGCTGGAAATCTTGCCGTCTCTGTACAGATTCAAGGTCCCATAGTTGTCCTCGCTCTCGATGCCATAACCCTTGTCTCCGGGTTTCAGACCTTGCTTCCGAAGCTGGTCCTCTTGCGGATCGAGGTGAAACTTCTTGAAAGAGCCTTTGTCTCCGCGAACCCAGTACCTCAGTTGATTCACCTCTGGACTGACGACTCCCGCCTTGACCGTGACCAACATCTTCGGGCTCGCATAATGGAGCAGCACTGTGCAGGAGTCCTCCAATCCGGTGGTGTTCACTTCTCGCTGTGACCCCACGAACCCGGTGACCTTCTCTGGCATACCGAACAAGCTGACGACCTGGTCCATCAGATGAGTCCCTAGATCATAGACCGCACCCGTCCCGGGGGCATGGTGGGCCTTCCAGTTGTCTGGGGGCGGCTCTGGTCGATGTCGATCGAAGTGAGTCTCGAATTCGACTATACGTCCCAACGTGCCATCCTGAATGTACTTCTTCAACGTCAAGAAGTCCGAATCCCATCGTCGGTTCTGGTAGACGGTGAGAATCCTGTTTTGGGATTTGGCCAGATCGACGAGTTCCTGTGCTTCAGCCGACGTGGGCGTAAAGGGCTTTTCGACAACAACTGTAAACCCATCAATCAGTCCATGTAATCTTACCGAGGATGTGAAATAAATACCATGCTTGTTCGCCAATAGTGCGGCCTTTGCCAATTGAAGATGCGACTCTGGCGCCGTCGTGACAACGACGACATGGACCTGGTCGTCCTTCAGCATCTCCTCCACCGATCTGTATGGCTTGATGTTAGGCCAGTCCTTGCTCGCATCGTCGTCCGGCTTCGGGCTTCTTTGCACGATGGCATAGAGATTGAAATCCGGAACCGCGTTCACGAAGGGGATATGGAAGGTCTTTGCGCTCAAGCCATATCCGATGATTCCGATGTTGTATCTGCCTCCGGCCATTTTTGTATAAAGCTGTTCCTGTGAGTTTTTCCTGTCACCTAGACTGCGAGCACTGTCACAGAAGGTGACTATAAATACTATGCTTCGTTCGTGACAATCAATGTCGCGCTTTTGCAATCAATACGCAATTGTTGAGATCCTTCACGTGTCAAAATACTGAAAGGGAAATATATCCGCAAACCGTAGCAGATCAACAAAAAAAAAATCATGTCATCGATGTAACACCAGAAACTCCCCAATGGTCAAAGCGGGACAGACGCGCGCTGAAATTTCCGATTCGAGACCGATGAGCAGAAATGTCTGTTCCCTATTCCTTTAGGTCTTATTAATTCAATTCGAGGATATTGGTCGTCCAAGTTGATGTCGCTGTACCAAGCACCCTGGTAAGATGAATATATCAATGATATCAAATGTCCAACTCTCTGGGTCCTTTGTAGCGCTAAGCAGTCATCGGGGCAAGTAGATACGCCCATGGCTTATAGCTTGCACATCTATAGCAGCAGAGGAGTGCGGCTGCAAAAGCAGTTACATTCCTCATTCCTCGATCTCAACCTTTGATATCCCTCAATTCCGGTCCAAACACATCTCCGTCCCTTTCCAGCCTCTCCCGCTCCAGTTTGCGCTTCTTGAGGGCCTTTTCTGCATCTGTTCCCTCGGCCCCTTCCCTCTTTGCTGCCGCCTTTGCCCTTGCTACTGCCACGATGTCCATCTTCTCCGGATTCTGACACACGGTCAATTTCTTGCCGATTCGTCTCATTTCCTTGCGCTGGGCAGCGTCGTCGTCGGAGCTTCGATAAGACTCGAGAAGGGCAGCACAAGAAGCGATCGTCGCCGTTAACTTTTGCTTGAAATGTTCAGCGGTGGCGTCAGGGCCGTTGGCCAGTAGTGGCAGAGCATCGAGTTTGGCACTGATGTACGCTTCCACGAGCTCTCGATCAGCTATCATGACCGCAGCAAGCCAGATTTGGCTGGGTGTATAGAGGAAATAGGCATCTGTCATTTGTGCCGCTGTAGCCAGAAGCTTCTTCGCTTTGTCCGCGGCGACACCGACTCGTTTCTCGCTCCCACTAGCCTTGGTGATGCTGCTTCCCAATCTCCCTTCCTCTGCTAAGACGTTCATCTCGACGTGTCCTCCCTGGAGACCCTTCATTGGATGCCGCACGTCCAGCGTGAACCTTAGGCCTTGCAAGAGCAGGAATTCGGGGGCTTTCACGTCGTCTTCACTGACATTGTTGAGTTCAGCGACAAAACGTGACAGCGAGATGTAGAAGTGGTCGGCCTTGGTGGCGAGATACAGCGCACACATCATGATTTGTTTTGGATGATATGTCATTGGCGAGTTTGTGAGGTAGAATCGGCGGAGGTACTGGATTGCTGTAGCCTAGATACGACGTATTCAGAGACAAGGCTCCCATGCTTAAATTCCGAGAGTAGTGTGCTTGTAGGAGGCGGGGACGCAACAAGTCAAAATTCGTCAGACAGAGGACAGTGAGAGACATGAAAGGAGAGATATCAACATACCACCACATGCGACGGTATTCTCGGATTCATGGCTTCACCCATGTCCATAATTTTAGAACACCCCCATTCAACAATCTTCAGCTCCTCGGCTACTGTCAGGGTCTCGATCTCGACATGATCCGCCCGAGTGTCATCGTTGTGATTGTCTCCATTCTCTGACGACCCGTTGGCAGCATGCACGCGCCGAAACGCAGCTCTCACCCGCTGAGAGGCGAGTTTGTTCGTCTCCTCTCGTATTCGAGCGAGGGACTCCTTGGTGTAGGACCAGTAACGGTACTGTGACGAGGCTCGGTAGACGTCGTCTTCAATCATGGCGTCATGTGATCATTTGACATGCTATGCGATCATCGGTTCAGAATGTTGGATCTCACTCGCTTGAGAATCATCTACCAGTTGTGTGTGGTCTATGAAGGGGGATGTCGTATGTGGAGAGTTGAGACACAGAACAAGGACGGTCGAGAGTGAAGTTTCAGCCTGCTTAATTTTGGAGAATTCCCCAATCATATCAACGAAAGCAACGTTGTACTCTAGACGCAGTCTCAGCCTCTCCCTCGTCACATGGAGCACTTAAATACATTATGAAGAGTTGCTGAAACAGCGTCAGACCTTGCAGATGATGCTCACCCCAGCAACAGCTTTTTCTTTTTAATATCAAAGGCAGCGTATGGTTCATAATTCTCGTGATGTACATCCTGCCGAAACCACCGTCTAGGTGGCCGTCGAACCCTACCATATCAACACCAGCGCTTTTTATGCATAGAACAACCAGGTAGCTCTGAGGTATATCAGCGCACCTAAGGCTCGCCCAACAGTCTGGCCGTGATGTCGCCCATGTACGCCTCTTCCAATTCATAGTCCTGGCCACCGTTTCTATCAATGCCCACGTAATTGAATGCCTCCACCACGCGCTCCACATCAAATCCCATCATGACAAACCGGTCAATTAGGTCTTTGTTGTAGCCGTCGTATACGGCAATGTTGGCTTGGGCTTCTCTCTCCTGGCTTTCCTTCTCGGCAGCCTCGATGTCCTTGTCAGTAGCCCCTCCGCTACTTTCACCGATGAAAGCCCTGGGAGCCCCGGCATATTTCACCGCCCATTCTCGTGCCTGTCTCTCGAATTCTTTGGGGTTCTTGATGAGCTGGTTCGCAACCACCGCATCTTGGGGATCTTTGGGCTCTGGTGAGCTAAGCAACGACTGCAATGAGATCATGGCAGATTTGATCGTTAGAACGGGAGACCATCCGGTGCTTAGCGTATCTAGACAAATGGCGCCCTAAAGAATCTGTCAGTCACTCAGGAGTGGCCAGTTGAGTGGATGAACATACAGTCTGACTGGAAATATTCGGGTGCCAGATCCTTGTCACAAACTTCATAACTGGCGGCTTGAATGGGTATTCATTAGGTATCTTGATCGAGACCTCGTATGTACCACCCTCGTACGGTGTCCCTGAAGGCCCTTTGAACGATCCTCTCAGGTCTGTGATGCTATCCCCAACAGGCTCAGCAAAGATTTGAGAGGTTGAGTCTGCACGAATGTCCGCCAGATCTTTGGCTATCCTTCTTGCCTTGTGACCTGCCATTGTGTTCGTCTAGAGCGAGAAAAGAGAAAGGACAAGCGGCGGGCCGTTGCGGTCGTTCGGAGAGTGACGACTGAGGGTTGTGTTCTATGGGACGGTGCTGGGTCAGATGGAGAGGTGCGAGATAAGGCTGATAGACTTTGGCGAAGGTATGAAGAATGTTCTCAAGAAGATCGAATATCGTGGAGTGCTTAGAGAGGGACAGGAACGAACGAGGCTGTGAGCTAGAATCACGTCGAATACAAGTAGATTGTGGGTGGATGAGTGGGAGGGGTGGCAGTCCGTGGTAGAGTGGACTGAGGATGCGAACTCTGAACAGTCTCAGCCGATGAGTCGAGATGCTAAGATGACAGTTATCAATACAGCAAGAAGAGCTGGTTGGTGTGTCACACAGCCACCGTGGACGTGTTGCCTGGTCTGTGGCCTACGAAGAGATGGAGCGCAGCCTCACTTTCATAAGCATGAGGCAGCTGATGGGAATCGGAGAAAGTCCTCGTCTCCTCATCGGCGAATCGGCGAGATCAGCCACGATTTCTCCAGCCACTGCTACACTAGCCACGCCTTGGCACCAGAACAGGCGCGACGAGGCATCGTCACGCATCCGTCCCCAGTTGCTGTAATCAACTGTTCGGTCCCATCTAGCCACTCCCCATTTCAACTCTCTCGCTCTTCAACAACTCTTTACAGGGGTATCACAGTCCTCTGACGTCCTCTCTTCCATCGTTTGCGCTATGGTGAGAACGAATGCCTTAACGACCCTGTCTATTGCTCTGCTAACATCCTGTAGGGGAACCAGCAATCATCACAGCAGGGAGGTGGTCCTGGTCAAGGAGGAAAAGATGACAAGGACAAGAAGGTAAAACAGGTCTAGAGGTCCAAGGCAACTCACTGACACTCTTCTCAGAAGGATAAGCCCAAGTATGAACCTCCTCCGCAGCCCACCACTAGAATCGGCCGCAAGAAGCGCAAGCAAGCAGGCCCAAGTGCTGCCGCAAAGTTGCCCACCATTTACCCAACCGCCCGTTGCAAGCTACGATATCTTCGAATGCAAAGAGTCCATGACCATCTCTTACTAGAAGAGGAATATGTCGAAAACCAAGAACAGATCCGGAAAACCAAAGCTGCTCAGACACAAGCTCCCGCTGCTGCTACAGACGGCGAACTCCTCGATCGCAACTCCGATGAAAGAAGTAAGGTCGACGACATGCGAGGTAGTCCGATGGGAGTCGGTAATCTGGAAGAACTGATTGATGACGACCACGCTATTGTCTCCTCCGCCACTGGCCCCGAGTACTACGTCTCTATCATGTCGTTCGTCGACAAGGATCTCCTCGAGCCCGGCGCCTCGATCCTGCTTCATCACAAGTCGGTCTCTGTCGTCGGTGTACTTACCGATGATGCTGATCCTTTGGTATCCGTGATGAAACTGGATAAAGCACCTACAGAATCCTACGCTGATATTGGTGGATTGGAATCCCAAATACAAGAGGTACGGGAAGCCGTTGAGCTCCCCTTACTGCATCCAGAGTTGTACGAAGAGATGGGTATAAAACCTCCGAAGGGTGTTATTCTCTACGGTGCCCCCGGCACAGGCAAGACTCTTCTCGCCAAAGCCGTCGCAAACCAAACTTCGGCCACCTTCCTCCGCATCGTGGGCTCCGAGTTAATCCAGAAATACCTTGGTGATGGTCCCCGACTAGTGCGTCAGTTGTTCCAAGTTGCCGCTGAAAACGCGCCTTCAATTGTGTTCATTGACGAAATCGACGCCATCGGCACGAAACGTTATGAATCAACATCCGGAGGTGAGCGGGAGATTCAGCGTACCATGTTGGAACTGCTCAACCAGCTTGATGGGTTCGACGACCGCGGTGATGTGAAAGTGATCATGGCGACCAACAAGATTGAAACCTTGGATCCTGCCTTGATCCGACCCGGCCGTATCGATCGCAAAATTCTCTTCGAGAATCCTGATACCGCCACCAAGAAGAAGATCTTCACCCTCCACACGAGTAAGATGTCACTTGCCGAAGATGTGGATCTCGACGAGTTCATTGCCCAGAAGGACGACTTGAGTGGTGCCGATATCAAGGCTATCTGCTCCGAAGCTGGGCTGAGGGCTCTGAGAGAGAGGAGAATGAGAGTCAACATGGCCGACTTCCGGAGCGCAAGGGACAGTGTAATGAAGACGAAGAACGAGGGCGAGCCCGAGGGTCTATATTTGTAAAACTACAGCATTTGGTGCGGGAGTTGTGGACTGTGTCGTCGGAGAGAATTGACAACGGAGAGCCCGAAAGCAAAGCAGAAGGCAGAGGAAGAGGAGCGGAGGACAAGGAACCTGTATCTCTAGGATCGTCACACGGCAGATAGAGTCAAATCCGAGACCGTTTCTGGGATAGAACCAACAGGGTCAAACTCTCTGTTCCGTGGTGGTTTATCGCCACTGATTCAATCGAGGGATACACGCTTGCTTGACGCGTATATTCTTCATCCGTCTGAGCATCTTAGGATGAGCGAACAGGAATTGAGATCTCTCGTCTTGACTCGTTACGGCGTCATAGGATTCGTCCATCTATGTATGTACTGCATGTACATAGGTACATAGGTGGGTAGCTATCTATCTGTCTGTCTATCTAGGGTTGGTAGGTAGGTCGGTAGGTACCTAGGTGTATCGGCGCGGTGGGCGTTTTGGCAGTGTGTGTTAGCAAGCAAGCCAGCCAGCCCGTCTATTTGTTTGCACCTCGTATGGTCTCTCAAAAACACTTCCGGCGCCGTACTTTGTATGCACAGCTGGCCGACGTACCTTGGCCTGCGAGTAAGTCTGTGGATGTACCGAGGACAGCGACATCGCGAGGACAGTACCGAGTACAGTGCAGTGCCGAGTACAATCGGTCCGGTGTCCGCCTCGCTTCGCTGGGTTCTCCTGTCTTGCGTGTATGTGTGTGGTGTCGATATTGGCATCGACTTTTGGTCCGACCACCTCCCCGCCGCCAATGTATCGCGTTCGCGCTCTTGCTGGTCGGCGTTGCTGCAAAGGAGGCCTCTGCTGGTTGCACCGGAGTTCTACCACGATCTTTCTAGGTTCTGGTGTCCTGTGTCGAATTAGGAGGTACCAAAAAAACACAGCAAAGTCTCTGGGGACACAGATAGTCGGTGATTGGAACCCAAAAATAGCCAGCACTTGACCATGAAGGTGGCTCGTGTACACATTCTTCAAGTGCGTTTGTCTGTCATCATTACCATTTCCGAAACAAATTCTTGATCACTCCGAGGCAGAGCCTTTATCACAGCCAATGCGGCCGAGCAATTCCTTTCGATCACTGCTTGCCCCAAGCAAGTTGACGCTGGAGGAATGTGCAGCTTCATGCTTCTGCTTCCTCCTTCCACCACTGCTGGAACCCGCACTGGACGTCTCCGGCGTCGAACGTCTGCCACCCGCCGACGACGCAGGCGACGTGGATTTGGACTTTGATCGTGATTTTGTCCGTTGTCTGGAAGGCTTCGAAAGAGAAAAGTTGGGATCCGTGCTGAGGATCTCTGTTTCCAGATATTGTTCCTGGGGATCCACGCAAAGCTTCATTTTGTCGATATAGTCCCTCGGCGACTTCTCATCCGACACTTCCTCGTCCTCATCCTCGTCTTCGTCGTCCGAACGCACATCTTCTGCCCCTCTACCAGTGATCACCTTATAGGCAACCCGAACGATCATGCCGAACCAAATGAGCAATATCACCTGGAGAGCAAAAAGCATGGACAAGAACGTCCACTTGATGCTGTTGTTCCAGCAGACGAGTCCAACGGGATTCTTGAATGGTTGGATGAGATGGTCCCAGTCGTTGGGTGCAGGGATCGGACCCTCAAGATCCTGTACGCTTCCCCTATAACATCCGTATTGAATTTCCTCCGGGATGTGAGCGTAGATGCTGTACCAGACAGTCATGTATAGAACATGCCTGGCAATCAGCCAGGAAACCATGAAAAAACCAAAGGCAATGTCACACGCAAGCTCGAAATGGAGATATTTGAGAATCTTGGCCAGTGGGAGGACAATATCCGCGAAGTCCATGAGACAGAGAAACAGGGTTCCGACACGATATTGGTGATAACCGTAGGACGTGAATATTAGTGAGCAGGTCACAATATGATGGCTGAACATCTGCCAGTGGTCCTTCCGACGCTCCTCAATGTTCACCACCACTATCTGTTGCAGCCAAAAGCCGAATTGGACCAGATAGTACCACTTCTCCATGCCCTTCATTTCGCGGTCAGGCCACGTCCTCCAAAGAGCGCGGAGATCGAGCCAATAGTCGGAGTTGTACATGATGTACATGCCCGTACACCATGAGACAGTGTAGTAGCAGAGAATCCAGGCCTGTTCCGCGAATCGTACCTTTGGCTTCCGTTTCCGAATACCGAGAGACGCAGCCAAAGGGCTGAGGAGATAGTCCATGACAGCACAGCGCAGGCCAGTGAAGACAATGATCCAGTAAAAGACAAAGAATATGTCGTCCCAACCCAGGGCAAAATTTCCGGTCGCCGGGTTGTGATAGGAGATGCGGAAGAACTTCTGGGTATGATGTTTTGCTGAGGGAAAGAGGATGTGTACAAAGAAGAGCATGGATATGAGGTTGACGGATATGCCTGTCAACGTAGAGATCAGTATGGCAAGCTTTATGGCATTCTTTTATTGCGGACGCTCTCACTGATCTGGTGATCCACGACCCAAGTACATGCGCAGGCGATGGTGCTTTTCTCCTTGCCCTTGCGCTCCCATCTCGGCCAGGCCGTCTTCTGCGATGGCGACTGACTGTGTTGGTGGTGTTCCATGGTCAAGTGGCTTATTTGTTCGAGTTTCTCCTGATCTGGTACACTCATTCGATCCATCTTCCTGTGAGCCAGCGGTGTGGACATGCACCAAGCTGAAAGTTCGAATAGGAAACTGAGCTCGAGACCGTGGTCTCCTGGTCCGGAGAACGAAAGACTGGTCAATGCCAATGACAAGGCGGGGGTATATCAATCCGAGGAAAACAATATGCGGGCGGGTGATGAGGGCGAGCGACCAGCGCAGCCAATGCGAGGTGTGTGTTGACCACGGAGGAGAGGGAGGACCGAGGGGGAGGTGAATCAAGCGAATGACAGGTCTGGTTGAGGGCACACGCGGCGTGCAGACAAGTTGCCTCGCTAAGCCCGAATGCCAGACAGACGGTCAGAAGCCAACAGTGCGAGGAAAAAAGACCAGAATGGAAGTGGTGGAGTGATATAAGGGAATATGAGGTGCAGGGCATTGGATGGTGGGGATTGGATGGCTGCAGCTACTTACCGACAGCTTTCTTGGGAGCCCTTGGGAGCCCTTGGGAGCCTCACCAGCCTCTCTTTTCCCTCCCCCCGGCACCCCGGGTCAATGGCTTTCTCGGTGGCTACTGGCCGCTACGGAGTGAACAAATGGTACCTAGAGGGATTGGCAGATGTCGGTGTGAGATATCGGCTTCGGCTGTCCCTGTGATTGGCACCAAGACCCCCGCAATGACCACTGGCCCCCCCCAGGAGCTGCAGCATGGTGAGCATCCTTTCCCCTTATGACCAGGACACTTCTTCAACCAGTATCAGAATCTGCCTCTGTACATAATAATATGCGGGACAAGAGGAAGTTCGGGAGAATGTGCTCATCGTTATTCCTAGTCTTATGCGAGTAATCTACCTCCTACCCACTGCTTTGAGCTGCGTTCAAGCTTTCTATCACCCCCACCACTGGCCCAAGCCTTCGGTCCCTGAATGGTCCCGGCTCTGGGGATGGAAGCTCGTTGTTTGCTGATATTGTTCCGGGTTTTGGACACACCCAACGAAGTGCCCCAAATACCCAATAGCACGTACTTCCACTCCACCAACTCTTCTTGGTGCCTGAACATCACCCGTAGTCAGTCCGCTTCAGTTATGTCATTCCGCCCAACCATTGTCCCTTTTGTCATGGTCGTAGATTAAATATCCTGGACAAACTCCCATATGGACACCTTGCCATTCCACATCTCTTTACCGGCTGGGTGTTTGAGCACCAGCAGTATATGTGACCTGGTGAGTATCGCGTTATTTCGGGAGTTTGGATAGCCGAGTATTTCGCACAGTTTCGAAGGTACGTAGTTTGCGCCGGAGCCGACTGTCCGTGGTGCGGTTGCGTTGGGCTCAGCGCCAAAGACCATATGGCTCTTTGCAAGCCTTCCACAGCTTGATTGTTCCGTCTTCGCTTCCAGTCGCATAGATCTTGCCGTCAGGGGAGAACGCGGTTGACCAAATTGGTCCGTGATGGCCTTTGAGGACCTCTGCGATAAGATTAGATCAAGCACGGGATACCAAGACAGCTGAAGCTCACCAAGTTCTTTTTCCTGTGCAAAGTCCCAGACACGGACCCATGTATCCTTGCCCCCACCAGTCACAAAGCGTCCAGTTGCAGGGTTAATGGCCACACTGGCAACTTCGTGGTCGAAGTTGACTTGCTTGATAAGCTCTCCAGGTCTGCCGGCGTCGAAAAAGAGACAGGACTGGCCTGCTGCCACACTCAAAATTCCAGGATTACTGTCTTCTGCTTTGTTGGTGGACAGCTCACACGAAGTAATGTCCCGCTCTGTCTTGACACTGGCGATCATGCGCTGAACTCTCAAGTCCCACCAACGAATTGTCTTGTCTTCGCAAGCCGTGGTGAGAATATTGTAGTCAACATTCCACACAATCGATTTGATGCTACCACCATGTTGACCCGCTCCAATCTCATGCCCCTCAGAAGTGGTCGTTGCGGTGACTGGAGTGGCCCCATTAACCTGGTCGGGTGAAGCAGCGCTGCCCCCGCGACTGAGATCGAAGATTTTGAGGGTCTTGTCTTGCGCACCGGTAGCGACACACTGCGGATTTGTCTGAATTGGAAATGAAACGGCGCGAACGATGTGGTTATGAGTCAAGATGTACAAACACTCTCCAGTCTGGGGATCCCAGATTCTCCTGTATATTGTCAGGGCAAAGCAACCAAAATATGTGCTGTTCAGAGCTCACGCGCTAAAGTCTGCGGATCCAGTGGCGGCGATCCTAGCATCGGAAGACAATCTTGACGACCAAACTGCGCCTTTGTGTCCAATGAATGTTCCTATCCTGTTCCCGAGGTCAGCAGAGCAACTTGTAATCCTCAGACATCCATACCAATCGCCAGTCATGCCATCTCGTAGCATAGGATTGTTGTCTGGTAAATGTCAGAGACAGATGGAACATGGGCGTGTGGAGTCTTACCTTTACAAGCCGATATCAGGTAGTACTGATCATCGTCCACGATGGAGGAAAAGCTCAAATGTGTTATCGGCCGCGAGTGGCCATGACAAGTCAGAGGGACGATACGTGGTGTATCTGCGCGCATGACGAATATTAGATTAATCTGTCCCAGAGTCTCAAGCAGACGTCTTTGTCATACCTGCGGACATAGCAACGATGTCAAGACTAAATTAATGCCCGACAACAAGCGGGGCCAAGTTTACGCAAATTCGAAACGGGGACGGATAATGACAGCGGCAGCCCAGCTTGTAGTGAAGTCTGAGGTATGATCAACTTCCAAGCCAGGATTCTTGTTGGTGTCCCGACGGCAGATCTGGGATTAAGAGGAGACGAAAGAAGAATAAAGGCCCCAGGACTGGCCACGGAGAAAGAAGGTGATTCTGGAAATTGTGACTGTCGTGACCTTGTAGGCGACTGGAGGACTTCCAACTTTTCACCGAGTGAAGTCAAGGTCACCGAGTCACAAAATTACAGGTAGGAGAAGTGAAAGAACACGGAAAAATGATAAGAAGATAGGTCTTTCAAATACTTGATCATGGGCCGACATGAACGTACCGTATTAGATGAACAGGGGAGAAACGCACGGGTTGGATGGATGTTTGTAGCGTTTGGCCCAAGTGGCTCGGTGGATCGTTCTTCCTTCCGCTTTGGTGGCGCCTCAAGACGCTATTCCTTCTTTGTATTAGCGTCTACTAACTGTCCAACATCAGTTTTTCGTATGCAGCCTCAGCCTTGTCCCTGTCCCCTTTTACTGCTATCTACTGTATCGTCCTCTTGTCGCTCGACTAGACTCACTCCCGATGGAAATGGTCTGATTCACACTTCTCTAGTCGGAGAGTACAGCCGTACAATAACTCCTTTTCGTCCAGAACTCAATTGCATAGAGCCACCGTAGCTCTCATACTCCTTTATTGATACAAAGCATCGAGGAGCATTTCGTTGTCTATGCTTTGTGTTGGTTCCTTCGACAAACTTTCCCTTTATCAATGATACTAAGGACCCGTCTAGTGTATTCTAAGTTCATTATGTTCGGCCTGGAACTCCTAACATGTCCGACCTACACGAAAAGGTCGTTTCTCCATGGCTTCACTGCCTGCGGTGAGACCTAAGCGTCTCTAGCAACCTCGTTTATATATATCTAGATAATACACCTCCTCATCTGGACAAAGAGATCTGGGCTGTTGCGTTGTTGTACGCGCCACGCGCGAAGGAAGTCGTCCTAATGTCTCAACGTCCTTGATCTGCTGTGCATCGCGCGCTGCCTCCGCGACTCTCTTGAACCTCTTTTTTCATAAATATGTCATTGTTCTCCCCTCTGTCTCTCCTCTCACCGGACAGCACGATCACAACAATTCACAGTACGGTTCTTCAACAAAACGTTGAGCAAACACAAAGAGAATTCAGACGATTTTCTTGATGACCACAAACTCCCAACCACACCGGTTTCAAACCAGGTAAATGCACATTCACATTTCAAGATGGCAAAAGCTAAGGAATTCTTTAGGGCCGCAAAGACAAAGCTGAGCAGGGCTTTCCACATATTCAAGCGTGAATACTCATATCAACACCAGGGGATGAACAGCTTCACATATTTTGTGCAACAAGGGGCAGAAGTCTCTTCCAACGACTCTGGCGCTGAGCAGCTGGTGCAGCAAGGTGACGCCTCTGTTCCTCCTCAAGGTCAATCGACGCTGAGGTACGTGATCTCAAATTACATGGAGGGATCAAGCGAGGCTGACTATGACTCGAATTTAGATTTTGCTGGACAGCCGTCAGAAAAGGGGCGCGGGCGCTTTGATAACAACCCTGCATTGCGGCCGCTCAACTCAGAAGTGACAGAGACAGAGCTATCTGACGTCGAAGAGTCTGAAGAGTCACCGATAGGTTCGGGCGTTGGGACTACTTCGGCGAAGATTTTGAGAATCTCTGAGGTGAATGGCCAGGAAACGAACGCTTCAAGCTGGAATCTCCTCCTGGGACAGACCATCCGCCATAGACATCATCGTTCTCTTTCTGACTGGCTAGAAGAACAAGTGTTCGAGCCACGCCCTACCAACCCTGGTCTCACTGAGGCAGATAGCCGAGGCATGGATATTTCAGAGGCACCACCATCTTCTCGCCATCTCTCGTCTGGCAATTCCAGTGCGGATACCTTTGGACGCTGGAGACGTCGCCACCCAGACGATGGACTTGCTCCCACTGGAGTGCCGGACCCATTCGTCAACCACCAGCCCACAGCTGAACAGAGAGGGCTGCCGGCTACGACTCTGGATGAACTGAACCATGAGACTCCTTCCCGCTGGTCAGCAGACTTCGACAAATTCTCCTCTGATGGCCAACAACGCAAAGTGGCACAGACTGCTTCAGGAAACTTCTCCCTTCGGCCTCGACAATACAGCCTCAAGACTCCACCTCAACGACCTCGTGCGGAGGAGATCAAGGTTCGCAAGAATCGTGTGAAACCCCAATTCGCGGCGGACACCAGCAAAGTGTCAGAGGAAGCTGAGACTGTAGCTGCCGAGAATACGGGTACCAACAAGGGAAACGCTGCGTCGGACCAGCCTGCTTTCTTCCAACCGGGAGCAGCAGTGCTCGGTGCTCAGACGGCCATGGAAACCATGCATCGATCTTTCTGGCAGGTGGACGGGGCTCTTCGGCAACTCACTCTCGAAAACCAGACGCACCAAAAGAACATGAGGACAGTGCTGGACAGAAACCAAGCTCTAGAGCAAGAGCTCGAGAGAGCGCACGCAGTGGTCCGAGAAAAAGACGCGGAGCTTGAGCTCTTGCGCAGAGTGATCGGCAATGTGGCCCATGCCCTGCTAGCGTTCCCGATTCCAGGCGTGCCAGGTCAAGCTCAACAGAACAGCCAAGGTGGCAGCGCCTGTCCTCCCTCCGGATCGAAGCTCTCGGAACCGCAAACGCCAGCGGACCAAACCCTTCGTGATTACAGCCGAGGGTACACGGTGCGCAAGCTATCAACCGGGTCCGTAAACACAGATGCGGCAAACTCCCACGAGAAGGACTGTGACGAGGCGGGAAGCGTGGTCCATCGCGAGGTGGCAAACCCAGGATTTGGCTTTGATTTGGCATACCAAGAGAGCGAGACTTCGGACATGTACGGGGACGATGACTACGTGCGCAACAAGGAAGCCGACGGAGAATATGATGGCGAGGATGAAGGGGAGAAAGACGATGGGGCCTCTGGCACTCCTTTCAGCTCCTCTGAACAGGCAGCACAGCCCGAGTCTCTGGATCACCAAGAGACCCCGTTGCAGAGCTCCATCGGAGACTCTGTGTTGGGATCCCTTCCTCGACTGCGCCCACGGAACTGGAACTGGTGAGCAGACCAGACAACTCTACCGTCGAGATGGCCGGAGCCGACTGGCAGAACGATACACGGTGGGGGCGAGATTTGCACTTGGTTCTCCTCTTGGTCTTAGTCTACTTCTTCTACCAAGGACCAGCAGGATTGGAAAGTGATTTTTGTCCACGTTGGATAAGGACTTTTATTACACACACATTCCAACGAGCTCTGTTGAAACCTGGGACGGGAAAGGGAAAGGAAAGGGAAGTGGATAAGGAAGGATACGCACAAACAGGCGGTACAGATACAGATTCAGGGATCGGTTCTTGGAATAACTACCCAGGTACTCTTTCACTTTCTATTCACTTTCTTGATGAGATGAGATGAGGCGAGGTCAAGTGAATAAACAAAGAAACAAACAATACTCAATATACCTACTCATCTCGTCCGGTAGATGTACTGTAATACCCCCAAAATGCCCCCTTTTTTTTCATAAAATAAACTACATATGTAGATGTCAGTGTAAAACTACAACCATGGTAGTTAGTTATCAGTTAGTCTACCCTACGTATCTACCTACTTTACGCATTTGTTGCCCCCTTTATCTACTTTTCATTTTCCAGCTATGCTAATTATTGTCTGGCTGGAGTCTGAAAACACATCCCCATGAGGAGTGACGGGGTATATTGGTAGAATGGCCATGGCCAGGTGTAAAAAGGTGAGCTGCCCAACCAAGGCTTACTTGACTTTCTGGATTTCTTTGCTCTCTTTGCTCATCTAACTAGAGCCGTAGAGCGTAGCGTACATATGTAGATTGGTCTATATTGCGAGGGTAAACCCCCTTTTCAAACCAATGTCCTCTGACGGCATCGCTGGGTGAATATAGCCTTAGGGAATAAATCCCAGTCATTGAAAAACTGGGATATATCGTCACATCTCATCTCCTTGGTACGGCCTATGAGTGTTCATTTTCCTCCCTCTTCAGTACCATCTTCTTCAAATTCGACCAGGGCAACACCACTCGCAACCACCTCGCCCTCTCCATGCACGATTCTCTGTACCTTGGCCCCCTCCATCGGGCTTCTTATGACGGTCTCCATCTTCATGCTCTCAATAACTATCAACGGTTGCTCCTTCTTCACCACATCTCCCGGTGAGACCAGCACGCGGAGAATCTTGGCCGGCATAGGGGAGAACAACGAGTTAGGCTTCTCCGTCACGCCGAGTGCTTTCTGAAGCCACGAAGGCGCAGGCGAGTAGAGAAGGAACGAGCCGTGCGGGGTGAAGAGATGGATTGTTTCTGGATTTGACCCAGAGCCCGACGATGCCGAATCAGGAGAGAAGATGATGTGTGAGGTATGTCGCGTATGGGGAAAGTAAGTTGTTAGGGTATTTGATTCCGGGTTGAAGGAGGATGAAACCGACATCGGGTCAGAGTTTGGTGTTGACACAGAGAATGTACCTGGGCTTATTTGTTGAAGTTCCACAGCAAGAATTTCGGGTTCCTTTCCAGGTTCGGTTTCGACATTCGCCGTGGCGAACTGAAAGGTTCGTGGCTGAAAATCCGAAGATGTATTAAGCCACGAGGGCGATGATAGTTGCCAGGCTGATGTCGCTGTATTCGAATTCTGAGGATTTGAATGGCGAAGGAACGAAGCAATCGCTGCCTGCGCAAGGACTTCTGAGGTGACACTTATCTGCGGGAAGAGTTCTTCTCGGTGTTTTTCGATATAGCCTGTCTCCACGTTACCAGTAACGAAGTCGGGTGATTTGCATATTTTCTTGAGAAAGTCAATGTTCGTTACAGGTCCAGCCACCTCGTAGTCTTGCAATGCTGCAACCATTTTGCGTAGAGCGTCTTCTCGAGTCTCGCCTCTAACAATCAACTTCGCAATCATGGGGTCATAATGGCTGGAGACTTCGTCCCCTTGAACGAATCCGCTGTCTACCCGCACGTTGGCAGTTTCTTTGGGGAGTTGAACGTGTAAAAGTTTGCCAGAATCAGGTATGAATCCCTTGTCCGGGTTCTCAGCATAGATTCGAGCCTCGATAGCATGTCCACGCTGAGAGATCTGTTCTTCGACTTGTTCCTGGGTGAGAGGAAGGGGTTTGCCTTCTGCAACCAAGATCTGCCAGTGGACAAGATCAAGCCCCGTAACCATTTCGGTGACTGGGTGCTCCACTTGAAGTCTGGTATTCATCTCCATAAAGTAGAACTCACCCGTGTCATTGTCGAAAATAAATTCCACGGTACCTGCTCCTTCGTACTTGACAGCGAGCGCAGCTGCTCGTGCCTTGTCCCACAGATCTTTGCGAATCGAGTCATCTAGGTTCGGAGCTGGAGACTCTTCAAGGATTTTCTGGTGCCGGCGTTGAATGGAGCAATCTCGTTCACCAAGAGCGACACAATTTCCATGCTGATCCGCGAATACTTGGACCTCAATGTGACGTGGTGTGGTAATGTATTTCTCGACAAGGACTTCGTCATTGCCAAATGAATTCCTCGCCTCACTCTTTGCACTTTCAAGCATATCTGAGAACTCTTGAGCATTTTTGGCGATTCTCATTCCCTTCCCTCCTCCGCCTCGAACTGCTTTGATCAGGACGGGATATCCAATTTGGTCCGCCTCGTGTGCAAGTGTCTCCGGAGCCTGGTCCGATCCGTGGTAGCCTGGGACACAAGGAACACCAGCCGCGTTCATGATCTCCTTGCTCCTCGCTTTGTCCCCCATGTCTTCAATGGCGCTTGCAGGAGGGCCGATGAAAGTGACGCCCTCTTCGGCACATCTCTTTGCGAATTCGGCATTCTCGGACAGGAAGCCATAGCCGGGATGGATAGCTTGACAGCCCTCTTGTTTTGCTATCCGGAGGATCTTCTCTTGATCCAAATAGGCGGCTGTTGCGCCGAGGTTAAAGGAGAACGGGGAAGAAAGCGCATGCTGTGAAAGGGCATCGGGATTCGTGTATAAAGTAGTCGTGCGGATGCCGTGCTGGGCAGCAGTGCGATTGACTCTCAGGGCAATCTCTCCTCGATTTGCAATGAGAATTGAGTCGATGGTTTTCGTCGAGTATGCGCGAAGGGTGCCCCGCGGTCGGAAGGCTGCTGCAGCTCGAGAGAAAGGATAGTGAGACATGGTGAAGTCAGCGAGGAGGACCGCTTACATTTTCGACACGCAGGACACCTGGGACAAGGCAGTTTATTATGTAGCATGAAGGGAGAAATGGGTATTTGAAGCCCTTCTCAGGATCTCGGCTGTCGTCGCATGGCGTCGGAAGTGGCAGCATCTCAGCTCTGGGGGCCATTCAGGTGGGGATCGAAACGCGTGCCGTTTCTCCAAAATGCCTGCCCGAGCATCGTCACACTGGATTCCATTTGTCCTCTGTCCTGCACCACGCCGTCTTCGGTTGCATGATTGCTCAAACGACATTCTAAGAATTCCTCGAGTTAAGGAGGGAGTAAAAAAGTTCACCTTTGGCTACAAACAATGAACATATAACAATTCCTTTTGGACTCCTCTCTCCTCTCATTCCTCTTTCTGCCACATCCTGTGAATGAAACTTGTCATGTTGTCCTGAAAAGCGCCAGGCGTGATCAAAAGATCACCTCCCACAAAATGTCCGATATTGAAGACTATACCTACTCCCCCTATGACGATCTTGAGGACATCCTGTGGGATGCGGATCCGACGCCAGAGTTAGCCGACGATTTGGCCGAGCACGCAGTACACAGTCCTGTGTATCAAGAGGAAGATGCTGTCAAGAACGAGATGAGTGAATATTTTAGCGACTGGGAGTACTACTCGGATGACTACATGGATGATGATCCGACGCTATTGAGAAAGATCCCTCAACCTGCCCGTGGGAAAAACACTCTGGTTGCTGCCCAGAACTCTCGAAGGGGCAAGAAGAGGAAGCTGATCGAGACAATCGACGTCCTTCCTTCGGGCTTGGATGAGGTCAAACTGTTAACCAGTAGCATCAAGGGCACAATCTGGGCCCAGCAAACTGGCCAAAAGATTCCAGCCCACAAAGATGAACAAGAGAAGGTCGCTCTCATGAAGAATTGGAAGGACGTTTTCGCGATCAAGGACAATGGCTGGAATCAATCAACAGGACAAGCCGAAGACGACGAGAGTTGGGCAAATGAGATGAGTCTAGCAGATATGGGTCTCAAACATGTGCAGCGGCAGCCGTCCTTCGATGCCACCAATCAAGATGCTTCGGCTGAAATCGAAGAGGACGACGAGGTAGCAGAAAGCATGGCAGAAGAACCCTCTGGGGAAGAACATGTCGAACAGGCCATTAGTTCGAAGGAAGACCCTGGGCCAGATGCCACAAACTGTCGCGATGCAATTGTGGGCAAAATAGACGACGAAAGAGTGAAAGGCTACGGTCAGGGCGGCCAGGATCTGGGATCAGGTGGTAGAGTCTCACAATCGGGAGTCCTGGTTGAAGATGAGATACCTCGAAAACGGCGACGGGTCAAGGCCGAACTGCCTTCCCCGCCAGACTCGAGTGAAACCGTGGTTGTTGACGCGAATGATCCGACGGCCATGGTCAATGGAAAAGAGCTGAGGCGAGACAGACCCCCAGACATCCACAGACCCGGCTCTCGAAGGGAGAACAAAAGAAAAGCAACGGACGAGCTCGACGAGGTTGACCATACCAACTCAACTCCCAGCAACCGAGCAAAGAGAGTCGCCTCGAAAGCCGCCACCACACGTTCGACACATTAAGAGCAAGATGAAAAGATTCTTTTAGGCATAGCATGGATAAATTGCAACGATCAAACCATCCACTCAACGGTGGGCAATCACTCAAGGGCAGGATGATAGAGGATTACTGGCTCTTCGAGTGAAATTGAAGAACGGCCTAGTACCCTTATGGTATAATTTCATGACTGTAACGAGCACAAGAAGAGAAATGGTGCAGGATGGGAAATGCATGAAACGTGGCTTCTTTGGCTTGGAGGACCCCCTATTGTATTGTAGGTAATTGTAATCTGGTCAAGCGAACAAAAACCATTTGTGAGACAATGTTTGAAAGGAGCGATGAGATGAGACGAGGCTCCAACTCGGCTACGCTGGGGCTTGCACGGCTTGGCAGCCGATATCGAACGGAGTCGAACTGCACCTCCATCTGCGTCTACTTCTGCTCGTGCAAGCTATCGTTGAACAGTTTTGACAACCACTAGAATTTTTCACTTCACCGGTTGAGTCCATTCAGCTGGCACCTGTATCCTCCGTCTTCCGTACCCCCCAGCCCGTTTGGATATCTATTTCAAAGAGAGGCGAGTCCGTACTCCACGAGAACACCCAACTTAACAATCTCATTTGGCTGAATAATTCGGGTTTACTGGTACGCCCACTTCTTTCCATATTACCCAGATCAGGACATTCGGACATCACGCAATGCCCGTGGCGGCAACTTTTATCTCTGTTGAACGTTGGCTGACTTGTGAACACCGTTAGATTTCGCCGCCAACTCCGCAGAGTGCGTTTGAATGGGGCAGAGAAAATCTTTGTTGGCCCAGGCTCAATAAAAGGAGGGAAGACTCTTGAAGATGGCATACAGTATGTCTCTCCCAGGGCGGTCCCGGACACCACCCTCGATCTCACCCCCAGCAGAAAATAACAATAGAGATCTAGACACCTCTTACCTCTCATCCCCTGACACTCCCTCCACTGTCTTCCCCGAGCGACTTATTCGGCCACTCCCCAAGCGATCCATCAAGTCCCGATTGTCCCAAGAAGCCGCTGAGGCCATCACATATCCTCCTACGCTACCATCGACCAGTCTACCGACATACTCTCACTATGGAGAAAATGGTGACTATCCCAACGACAGCAAAGTTTTAGTGCACCAACATAGTGATGGATATGATCAAGATCACGACCACGACCATGACGATGATCATGACTGTCCTCACCACCATCACTGCCATCACGATGAATACGAAGATGATCTGGATTCCCAAGATGAACGCATGGTTCCTGTCCGCCACTACTTTGTGTCATCCCCCCGATCTCCCCGCTCGGGTCGCCACCGATACTCCTCCAAGGGCACCATGTCTGGGCCGGACGGATATGAGGCGTTTGAAAACACTAATAATAAGAAAAAGCGAAAAATTCCCACCTCTGGCAGTTTGAGTCTGCATCATTCATCTGTCACGGATCAGTTGGCGCATATGGGTATCAGTGGCACGAGAGACGGCTCAGCGGACGATTCTTATTCCACAATTGCTCACGCCGGAAGCCCCACAGGCCTTGGAGTGCAAGGAGCAGGGAGAGGGCGCAGCACTAGAAAGCTACCGGGACGGAATCCGCTTGGTGTTTCGGTTAATGGCTCCAACGCTCGAAGCAGTACATCCAAATATGACCAGAATATGTCTGCTAACGCCAAAGGTAAGAATCAAAGAGCGGAAAAAAACGACGTGAGTGTAACTAATGTGTTTCGAAGCCGAAGAATCCAAAGATCAAGGTATTATTTCTGCCGCGATTGCCAATGCTACAGCGCTGCTACGGAAACCTCTCGGTAAAGGTCAAGAGAACGTGGGTGTCTTGGATCAACAAGTCAAACAAGCCCATACCAGTTCACAGTTTACCTTTACATGTGAGAGCGAGGCGAAAGGAGTGACGTTCCCCGAACAGAGTTTATACTCGCCGGGGTATGCACAACGCAACAATTTGGGTCCTTCAGGTCCGGGGGCACCGCACCAGAAAGGACCAACTCAGGCGACGCACACCAATGCGGGCGTGGGGCAACCAAACTCTCAAGCTGCCGCTGCGGCTTCGGCCACGGCAAATGCGAATGCCCAAGGCAAGAAACCTCGCCGAAGGAGAGCAGACGTGTATACGTTGGCTGCCCGACAGAGGCGGCTTCAACAAGAATACAACAATTTGCAGCATCCGCCGGCGCCTGAAGACATCTGGATCTGTGAATTCTGCGAGTACGAGAGTATCTTTGGTCAACCTCCTCATGCGTTGATACGTCAATACGAGATTAAGGACCGCAAAGAACGGCGTCGGTTGGCGGAGAAGAGGCGATTATTGGAGAAAGCCAAACTCAAGGGCAGGAAGGGAAAGAAGCAGACAAAGGGGACGCCCAAGGCCTCGAACTACAATGGCCCACTAATGCCTCCACAGGGATATGAGAATCAGCCACTGGACCAGCTTGGCGACGATGACTTGGACTATGGCTACGATGACCCAGTACCTATGCCGGCACCACCTGCAGGCACTGCTCCGAGCAAGGCTGCTACCCGGCCGGCGAATGCGACGACAGACAAGGCTGGGGGAACCAATGGAGGCGGAGGGACACGATGACAGTTGGGCTTTCGACAGCTCGGTCCGTGTTTCTTGTCTGTCCTTTTGTTCTGTTGTTCCCCTTTGTTCAGTCTTTCTCTCGCATCGCATTGGACTCTGATCTGGTCACTCGTTTCATTGGCGCCGGTTTTGTTTCTTGTGGCATTTTGACATCTTGTCTGTATCTACACAATCACCCTTTTTCCCATGACTCCTGGCCCTCTGGCAAGCCCTAGGTAGCCTGCACATACTCCTCTCCCCCAAAAGATAAAATTTGCATTCAATTCGTATGAATCTGGTAAAGACGCCTTTGTTTCAAGATGAGGTAGTTGGACAGGATCATCAGGATGGCTTGCGTGTGCTTCGAGGTGGAACAGGATTTACTTACAATACCCAACGTCCAATGCCACTGGCTGCATTGGTGGCGTGGCAGTGGGTGGCTTACTTGGACCCCTGGTAGAGTCGCTTATTATTCGTTGCCCCGATCCAGCCACATTCCCCGCAATTCCAAGGCACATTCCCTGAAGATTCTTGATTCTTGCCCAAAGCCATGACGCACATGCCTGCAACCACTCTGCCACTGGCATCCCGCATTTCCCAATCCGGTTGTTTCATGACCGGAATCTCGACGCTCGCCTCCCTTCCAACACACGTGACCTCGCGCCGCTTTTGCTCAGGCTGGCTCGCGTCCGGCTCAACGTCGGCTCAGGCTCGGCTGGGCCAGCTCACCTTGCTGACCACGTCGGGCGGTGGCCCAAAGGTCGTCCCTCCTCCAGACCGTCAAGTTTTAACGAGGGCCCCAAAACGAGGTCCCTAGGGGGAGGGGCTCCCTAGAGACGCACCACGGCACGTTGCCTCCTCGACCCTGCGAGAACGAGTCGGTCTTCATGAGCGTGATGGGCCTAGCACGACGTACGCTTGTGTCCCTGACGCGAGGGAGGGTTCCTAGATATAGTCCCCCTAACCCTTCCAATGTCCCGTTGAGTTTCTGTCTCCTTTGTCGTCTATTCTCCCCTCCTCGCCGTGTCTTCCCCCTCCTTTTTGTCGTGTGAACTCTTTTCACGTCCTCTGACTCGGCTCCTGGTACGATTTCTGCTTTCCCTTCTCGGCACAGGTATAGGTCCTTGGAACACTCGGGAGCTATCAACTATGAGCATCAAGAACAAGAAAAGAAGTTGGAAGGGTCTGAACCCAGACGAGCAGATAGAGGCGGCATTGGAGGATGGGCTCTCTGGGGACAGGTCGGGGATCGACGGGAAGCCTGTTTATGCAGAACTTGCTAAGAGCAGTAAGCCGCAGTACGAGGCGATGATGGAGGTTTGGAAAGCGTAGGCCACCTAGGAAGCCCTACTCGAGTCTGTGAGATAAAAACTGATAAGGACTAGGTACGAAAGGAAATATCCGGGGTCCGATCCTCGCAGCATGGAAGTCATGAAACACTTTGCCGAAGTGGTCGGACGCGCGACGCCTGGCAGGCTGGACAAGGAAAAGAGCCTGGACAAGGACAAGAACAAGAAACGGGCAACGGTCAGGACGATACGGAATAAGATTCGAAAATTCATGTCACAATGGCAGAGGGAGACTCACCTTACCATCCCTAAAGACGTTCATGACTCGATGGCTCCTGTAAGTGTGTTGAAACGCTTCCTGAGCTAGAGCGCCCACTTATGGTTTCATTTGCTGACGAGAGAAAGTACATCAAAAATGTACTGAGACACAAAATTCCGCTCTCCATCGAGGAGAAAGAACCTACATATCTGACGATAGAGAACTATGTCGCTATGGAAGAGTTACTCTGGCTGAACGATCATCACAATTACATCCACGAAGCGAGCCGAGTAGACTCTAGTGCCCTATTGAAGATGCACTGCTACACCTCTGCAAGATTACAAGAAATCTGCAAGGCAAAGTACAAGGTCTAGTTCTGAGCCAGACGAGATGAAATGTGGACGGTGCTAACAATGTCTAATAGGACCTTCTTTGTATGGTCGCATGGAAAGACGGAGAGCCAGAGATCAAGATACGGTTCAAAAGAGAGCGCACAAAAGGCATGCAAGATAATCCCAACAAGTAAGTGACGAATGTCGGCCGCTCCGAGGCTTAGATCCTCATTGCTTACACTTCTGTTGAAATGCAGACCAAAGCATCCCATATACGAGAGACTAAATCCTACACCTCCTTTACTCGTCAACGGGCTTTTGTTTTTACTGGCTATCTTTATTTCGGCTCGCGCATTTAAGGACTACAACACTATCGAGGCGGTCCTCAATGCCAGACCGCCACCCAGAAGAAGGTTTGGGATTATGGAGTGGGCAGACGCCGTCTTGGACGATCCAGTCTTTCCAGAGATGTCCGTAAATGGACCAACCAAAAAAGAGAAAAACGAGTCCGCGTGGGGCCACCAGTGTTCCGATTGGGCAAAAAGGGCAGAC